AAATGTTCATCAGAAATCATAAAATAACAACTAAAGTCATGTTTATATTTAGTAAAATGAATAAGCTTTACCACATAGATTTTAATTTTTCCTCAAAGTTTCACATTGATGTGGTTTAGAGCGACAAAAAATTGTATGGATAAAATAAATAATGATGGTTTCGGAAAGTAAGAATTTTGAAAATCTTTAAAAGTTTACAATTTCTTAATATTTTAGAAATTAAATTTGATATTCGCATCATATACAAATATAAAGCTTGAGTTCTAACCTTTTTAAACAGCTATATGCTTTCACTTTAACCTTTGACGTAGAAACTTAATTCAAGGTCACTATAAACACTTTACTCAAGGAAACTTTTTGGTTGCAGTTTGATCCACATATATAAAGGGCAAGTAAATATCCTTACAACAAGGGTTTTACACAGAGAAATCTGCTATGATCTTTTCCTTTGATATAGTTCATGATAAGAAGAGACCCTATACCCACAACCTTTCTATGGGTACTGTATGAGTCATAAGGCCAAGGAGAGAGAACATACACACAAAATGATTTAAGATCAAAGCACGTACTTTACCTACATGGGCTAAGTTTTTGCGTCAGATTTCTGTATATTGCATGGTGTTTTCTGGACGATTGGTATCGGAAAGACAAATGGACAAATAGACTGATCGGCTTTAGGGCACCCGCAGAACTACATGTAGGTTCTTATAAAGATATATTTTGATGCTACTGAAGGAGGTTAAATGTTATTTTCATTTTCTATTAATATTTTTTTTTTACGTTTGATTAATTTTGAATTTAAAAGGAATCATTCGGATTACTCGTTCAGGTAAACGGTAATTACAGTATGACATTTTCCACTGAATAAACTGAACATTGTCATAAAAATCTGTAAAAAATGGTAAACATTTCATAGTTCTTTTCACATTATTCATAATTTGTCGTTTGTTGATATACCTAATTTTCAGGAGTCAATCAGTGACTAATAAATGTATCAGTATCGAATTTGCTTACCTTGTCATTGGTCATTTACTAAATTATTTTGTTACAAAACATTCTGATTGTACACACAAGTACTCCGAAGTATTAAAAAGATGCTTAATGTTTGATTGACAATATCTATGTAGCCTTTTGGAGATCAAGTTTCCCTACATTTGTACAATCTGCCGGAATTTTCATGGGTACTAAATGTGCACCGTTATTAGCAGACCTATTTCTTATTCATATGAATCAGAATACATTCAAAAAAATTTACAAGAAAAGAAAAAAGTCTCTTGCTGTGACTTTCAATTCAATATTTATATATATCGACGACGTTTTATCAATTAAAAGGTTCTTTTTCATTCCTACGTTGATTCGATATATCTCTTTGAGCTCGAAATAAAAGATACCACAGAGTCCGACACATCTGTTTAATATTTGGATATTTTACATAAAAAGACGTTAATGATAAATGTGATGACTTAAACTTTTCCATTGTCAACTTCCCTTATTTATGCAATATACCATTATCATCTTTCATGTAGAGTTTACGACTCCCAGTTGATTCGATACGCAAGAGTATGCTGTACGCACGAACAATTTCTCAAGCGAGGCAGGCTATTGACTCATAAGTTGATGAAACAAAAATATCAACAGTCTCTTTTAAAGTCAATATTTGACAAATTCTATGGTCGATACACGCGGCTAGGATAAGGCTGTCCGAAGAATGTCACAGTGTACCAGCCGTAGTAACTTCTCTTAACTACCTAGATATGACGTCATAATGGCATATGACGTCAAGTCGCTGCATACTTGAGCTGACATGACGGGGAAAGTGTCATAACTTTTACATTCCTTTCACATCACATGTAGAATTTTTTTTACGTTGATGTTTAATTCATGTGTCTGGATTGTTGTTTTAAGGCTGTAATGATGCTGAATATTTGCCGTATAATATCGTTATTACTTTTCTTGTCTAACATGTACGTATTCAAACAAATGAAAAAAAGAATGTGAAATGCCCCCCTTACGTGTCTGTAGACAGAGTTAGAATCTATAAATTTTATATATATTAGACTGGCACAAGTGAATAATAAGGATTAATTGAAGATATTCTGTGTGAATCTACTAGAGAAATATGTCCTCTAACTGAATTTTGCTGGGGGATTGAATGTAATTTATCCTACTTTGTATCAATTGCGATGAAGAGTGGAAAATGACCCCTTGTATGTGGGTAAGTTGAATTTCTCGTGAAATATTTTCTGATGAAATAAAATTCAGACTTGCCCCCAGCACTTTATGTATACCCAAGAATACGTTTAATTGATTTATGAAACAAGCCGTTCACAATAATTTTGTTTTTCACTTGTGCCGATGCGATTTTTGTGCAACATCTAAGAAAATTTATAAGTGTCCGTCACGTGATCAACACAGTCATGTGACATCACAAAAATGCTTTTTTGTAATACCTTATTCAACTTTCTTTACAACTTAACTGTTTATGTATACATAGATTACAAATTGAAATCAAAACATTGCTCAATATAAAATAGTATATATTTACTGCATATTAAGCCTTCGGACAGCCTTAACCTAGCTGCGCAATAGATACAATGATCTTGTAAGCAAATGCATGTTCAACCTATCATTAAGTCAAATGTTGACTGACGTTTTTCATACAAATTGTAAGGCCATTATTTTAACACTGTATTGTCTACGGATTTATCCGTTTAACCGAACATGACAAGGACGGTTGTGACCGGTCGGCTTACGTCTCCATCACACCTGATCCCACCTCTGATGTTTTTAGAGATCGGTGATTGCACAGCTCCAAATTTGTATTGTTTCAATGGACTTTTAAGATTAATAACTGTTTATCTGCATATTTCATGCTCAGTAATTCAAATTTGTTCAGTTTCTGAAAGAAACTCCACAGCTTTGTGCTTCCTTCCTTAACTTCTATTTTATGCAAGAAGGACGGATGTGCTTGCATGGCAGCACTTGATCAAATAAAATTTCAGCATAAAGTACGTAGAATTTTTCGATTGTTGATACCAACAATATACATATCAATCCTTTAAAAAGGAATTGATTCTTTGGCGTTGTTGTAATTATTGTTGGAGTTTCATATTTCATTTACAAAGGCCTATGGTTGAAGTGATCTGGACAATTTGATGTAAAAGGAAAGTTCATTTTTACTTACACCATGGATTTTAAAATGTGTATGAGTAGAAAAAGGAAAATATCAGGGCTGAATATACATTCAATGAATATAAAATTAAGTCTACAGTCAACTGTCCTACCTGACTCTCCTGTTTGCATTTCGCTGTAAATATCACTTCCTTGTTAAAACAAGATAAAGTTTGAATCTATTTTTATACAATATACAACGTGACAGTTCTATTCATGCTCAATGAAAGAATTTAAAAATCGTGCTGAGCGTTTATCTCCACACTAGGATTTAAAGTTTGCAGCATTTCATTACTTACACAGATATGGCCCTCATTTACTTAAGTGTAAGTTGTGTTTTTATTTCCTTTAATGGTAGTATATGTAAATGTCTGAATAGGAAAATTATTGACTACATAATTATGAAATATTCAGTTTTTTTAATTTTTTTATTTATTTATTTTTATTTTGTTTTATGAATTGTTGCACATTATACAAACATGTACTTGTGCTTTAAAACTTTATTTCTTTTAGTACAAAGGTACCATGTTTTGAGATAGAAACTCCAACCATGTAAAGAACATATAACGTAAATGATCTTAAGTGGATTTGGAATTGGTAATTCACTTTTTCATAACATTGCCTACATAGATTTCTTTATCAACAATCTACAAGCATACTATCTATGATGTCGAATATTCATCTATTCTTAGAAATTGGTATCTGTGCCAATTCAAATTATTGCTATAAAATTGTCCTCCCTTGCATGGTTTGTCATAACTATCTTTGAGTTTGATTACTTAAACTTGACGTATTTATTTAATTTTCTTCATTCGTCTGAATAAAATGTATTGCATCCATTGCTTTATGTGTTACAATAATTCAAGCTCATATAATTTATAATCGACTGAGTTATTCCGAAACTACATTTATTTAGTACACAGAAAACACTTTAATATAATATACATATGTAGTTAATGTAATACACGTACGGTAAGCCCATTGGAGTCCTCTTGACTTAATGAAACTAAAAAAGTTTTCAGATGGAAGGGGTTAAAGTAAAAATTCTAGATCTAGAAAGAAAGAATGCGCTAAATACTGTACAAGTAATGTATAACATTTCTGCTTTTTTTACGTATAACTTTTCTGCTTTTTTTACGTTTCCACCTGGCATTCACTACTTCAAAGCTATAATAAATAATTTTGATAAAGGATGGGCATTCTTGGAGTTGTCACACTGTGGTCTCGCCCAGAGAGATTCAAGATTATGATTCGCTGATTAACGAAAAATAAAAGGTTCCAGACACAGTCGCAGGGGTCGGTTATCCATAGTTCCTCCTCCTTCTCAGTTACAAGTACGTTTATTAGATGAACATATGCAATTTACAAACTCCTCGTGACCAAACAATTAATTTAAGAGTAAATAAATCTTTGAATGATAAATAGCAAACAGATAAATAAATAAATAATAATCACAGGGAAAAATAAATTAAAGGCACAAAACGTTTAACTTATTTCTGAGACAACCAAAGGTTAAACATTTTATACAGTAATGTTTCGATTTATTTTTAAGTTGCAGGTAGCGATATTTGTATCACTGCAAACTTTGTAAATGTAAAACTGTCAAACTAAATTTCATATTAATTTTGTAATAGTTTCACAAAATTGACATTTAATATTAAATGACCTTTTTCAACTTCAAACTGTGTTGAGTTTTTATCAAATATTTATGATATTACATCAAACGGATCGAGTAACCTTTAATGCGAGTCATGTCAGGAAGATGGGCATAAACATATTTTCGAGACAATCATACAATTGTCTTATCATCAAGAACAAAATTCAGGGGATATGATTCAGAGTATTTTATTCATGAGGTCAGAATTTTATAAATAAAATAATCTAATTACATACACATTCACACAATACATGTAAAGATGAAGTTATGTTCACTTTGAAAGCTTCTTGGCATTTATATCTAAGTATTTTTCTATTTTTCTGTTCAAGACAGATTTCAAATTTTAAAAAAATGTATACATGTATCTTAAAATCCTAATTTGTTTCTATAGGAAGATTAACTTTCCGTCTCTCGGACATGGCATTAAATTAAACAAAGATATAGATATAAGTGAATGAAGATTTTAGTTTTCTTGACTAATAAATGAACCTACTGCTAGTCTTATTTTTTTTTTTTTTACTAAAAGAATAATAAATTGCAAACGTGATGGTGAATATACATGATACATTCAAACGTAATTTCCAAAGATAGAATTACTTGGAATATTATGAGGATGTATTCTGCTGGGAAAATGCATTAAACTTTTCAATGTTGGTACTTTATTTCGATGTATGCATTATTTGAAACAAAAGCGAAGTAGAAACTATGAGTTAGTGTGCATAGTTTTGAGATACAAGATATTGAAAATATGGCGGGACCAGACTTTCTGGGATTTTTCATGGACAATGAAGGGAAAAGTCTTTCTTATCTGGAAATAAACTTTTCTTAGATATCTTTTATAAGACTATCAAAACTACAAAGAATCAAAATGCAAATGGATAAAAGATGGTTAGTTGGCAAAAAATAGGCATACTTTGATGGATAAAACTATGCATCAGCATAATCAGCAGAATACATCCTTACGCACATGTTTATCAATTTACACTGTACTTCATAAATCTCTCTAAATAATCAAGTTTAGCTATGTCCACTCGTTATCTGCATTTAACAAAAAGAAATTAAACAAAAAAGACTTATGGCACCAACATTTACAATTTCCAAACCAACATTTCAAAATTTAATATTCTATTTGTAGATTTTGAGCAATGTCAGTATTGAGTATATAGCATACAGCAGATAAAGCTTGCAATTACAATACCATGAAATGTAATTTCGATTTACATGTATGTTAACTTGTTTTCACACCAGTAATCAAAATAAAAGTTCTTGTGTGTTAAAAAGATTAAAATTTACCTTTAATGATAAACATGTTATATATAAAGGTTTCATTATGTACAACAAAGTAAACTTTTCAACATTATAGATTTTGGGTAAAATAAACTAAACTATACTATTTTTGCGCTAATGCCCTACAAATAAAGTAAAATAAAAAGGGAAAGAAAACAAGATCTTGATCATTAAACATCATGATCTCTAAGATGGTAAAATTACAATTGAACAAATAGTCTTTAATGAACAAGAATTAATGTTTATAATAAGAAAATAGTGTCTCTTTACACCAATGAAAACAAAATCAAATGAATTTAGACTCACGTTAATTTCTAATTGCAATCACCGAAGCTGCAGTAAATACTCTGTATATTTATATTGAAAAAGAATTTCAAATTACCAACAAAACGATATATTCATTAATTAGATATGTACATGTTACAATTTAAATGTAATTTGAAATTAATGCCCTTAAGATCCTTGAAGGTTAGAAAGATATTGAAATGAAAATAGGAAAGTGGACAACATTGAATATAATCGTGAGAAAAAAATTCAACCCATCAAAACCAATAAAACTAAGAAGTATATTTCAAAGGTGTCTTTAAATCTAAGGGGAATGTTAATGAAGATACAAGTATTTTTTTTCTGATAAGCCTTAGCATTGATAAAATGTCTTCATTAAAAATGCAAAACACTTAAAGAAGAAAATTATGAACACAGTTTATAACTGATAATAAACCAATACTAAAAAACCAGAAATTTCTATAAATCCTTTCTTTATTCTAAGTTATCGCTTTAAATTGTTTTTAAATGTAAATAAAAATTATAATACTAAAACAGTCAAAGGAAAGACAATGTTGAAAGTTGTTATTAACATAAGAACATACCTTTTTTTCTAATTTTCATGAGCATTGTGAATAAATATAAAACATTATTGAAAAATATTCTTTCATGTAGATTTTCTTTGTTTATTTTTCTCTTTTTGGTTGGTCTTGTCGTCTTCACTATTAGAAAAAGCACTTTTTACCAAGTCTACGAGATCAATTTCTTCATCATGTCCTTTCAACTGTTTTCCCTTATTTTTGATCCTTGCTGGATTCGGATTTTTCTTGAGATTTTTGGACTTATCCTCCGATGAGTCACCACTTGGAAAAACCATTTCTTTAACAGAGGTCACAATTCTAGAAAATAAAGATTTCTGGCTATCGTTTTCGTCATCATCATCATCGTCTTCATCATCACTTTTAGTTTTAGATTTTGGATTATTAGATTTAGAAATTTTGGAAGGATTAATTTTCTTGCCTTCTCGAACATCAGGAATGCCATCGCCATCATCATCTTTATCAAATTTATCGGGAATTCCGTCCCCATCCAGATCTGGAAGTTTGTCAATAATACCATCACCATCACTATCTGTGTCCAAATGGTCTGGAATTCCATCATTGTCGGCATCCTCTTGATCATCAGGAATACCGTCACCATCATCGTCATCGTCCTCCTCGTCTGGAATACCATCATTGTCATCGTCATCGTCCAGGTAATCTGGAATACCATCGCCATCTGTGTCTTTTTCCATGAAATCTGGAATACCATTTCCATTGGCATCAGAATCTTTACTGTCAGGAATTCCATCATTATTGTCATCATCATCCAAATAATCTGGGATTCCATCACCATCGGTATCCAACTCTTTGTCATCCGGTATTCCATCATTATCATCATCCTTATCCAGATGATCTGGAATTCCATCATTATCATCGTCGTCATCTAAATAATCTGGAATACCATCGCCATCAGAATCAATCTCCTTGTCATCAGGAATACCATCTCCATCATCGTCATTTTCTTGATCATCTGGAATTCCATCCCCATCATCATCCTTGTCTAAATAGTCTGGAATACCATCACCGTCAGTGTCTTTTTCTTTATCATCTGGAATTCCATCACCGTCATCATCTTTATCTTGGTCATCTGGAATACCATCACCGTCGTCATCGTCGTCTAAATAGTCGGGAATGCCGTCACCGTCGGTGTCTTTTTCTTTGTCATCTGGAATTCCATCACCATCGTCATCCTTATCTTGAGCATCGGGTATTCCATCTCCATCGTCATCATCATCCAAGTAATCTGGGATACCATCTCCATCAGTATCTTTTTCTTTATCATCAGGAATGCCATCACCGTCGTCATCATCATCTAAGTCATCAGGAATACCATCATTATCGTCATCATCGTCTAAGTAGTCTGGGATCCCATCACCATCAGTATCAATTTCTTGTTCGTCAGGAATGCCATCCCCATCATCATCTTTATCAAGACTGTCGGGTATTCCATCACCATCTGAATCTTCTTGATTATCTGGAATTCCGTCCCCATCATCATCGTTATCTTTATCATCTGGAATACCATCATTGTCATCATCATCATCAAGATAATCTGGTATTCCATCACCGTCAGTGTCTTTTTCTTTGTCATCAGTGATTCCGTCGCCATCATCATCATTATCAAGATGATCAGGAATGCCATCATTGTCATCATCATCATCTAAATAATCAGGGATGCCGTCACCGTCCGTATCTTTTTCCTTGAAGTCAGGTATGCCATTTCCATCTGCATCCTCGTCTTCAGAATCTGGAATTCCATCATTATCGTCATCATCATCCAGATAATCTGGTATCCCATCACCGTCTGTATCTTTTTCTTTATCGTCTGGAATTCCATCTCCATCATCATCATTGTCCAAGTGGTCAGGAATACCGTCACCATCCGAATCTTCCCGGTTATCTGATATTCCATCTCCATTATCATCATTATCCTTATCGTCGGGAATTCCATCACCATCATCGTCATCATCGAGATAATCTGGAATCCCATCGCCGTCAGTATCTTTTTCCTTGTCATCAGGAATTCCGTCACCATCATCATCGTTATCGAGGTGATCTGGAATGCCATCGCCATCTGAATCTTCTTTATTGTCGGGAATTCCATCACCATCGTCATCGTTATCTTGAGCATCGGGTATTCCATCTCCATCGTCATCATCATCCAAGTAATCTGGGATACCATCTCCATCAGTGTCTTTTTCTTTATCATCTGGAATTCCATCACCGTCGTCATCATCATCGAGATAATCGGGAATTCCATCTCCGTCAGTATCTTTTTCTCTATCGTCTGGAACTCCGTCTCCGTCGTCGTCATTATCAAGATTATCTGGAATACCATCATTATCTGAATCTTCTTTATCATCTGGAATTCCGTCACCATCATCGTCCTTGTCAAGATGATCAGGAATTCCGTCACCATCATCATCATCGTCAAGGTAATCCGGAATACCGTCTCCATCAGTATCTTTTTCTTTATCATCTGGAATTCCATCGCCATCATCGTCATCATCTAAATGGTCAGGAATTCCGTCACCGTCTGTATCTTTCTCTTTGTTGTCAGGAATTCCATCGCCATCATCATCATTATCTTCACTATCTGGAATACCATCTCCATCATCATCATCATCTAAATAATCTGGTATTCCATCGCCATCTGTGTCCTTCTCTTTGTCATCTGGAATTCCATCACCATCATCATCATTGTCCTGAGCATCAGGAATTCCATCACCGTCATCATCATTATCAAGATAGTCTGGAATTCCATCACCATCTGTGTCTACCTCGAGCTTATCAGGTATGCCATCACCATCACTATCGTCATCGTCAACATCAGGAATTCCATCGTTGTCATCATCGTCATCAAGATAATCTGGAATCCCATCCCCATCGGTATCTTTCTCTTTATCATCTGCAACACCATCTCCATCGTCATCCTTGTCTAAATGATCTGGAATCCCATCATTGTCGTCATCATCATCCAAATAATCAGGAATTCCATCCCCATCGCTGTCAATTTCTAAATGGTCGGGAATTCCATTTCCGTTGTCATCGTCATCTTGGGAATCTGGAATTCCATCATTATCATCGTCATCATCCAAATAATCAGGAATTCCATCTCCATCAGTATCCTTCTCTTTGTCGTCTGGAATTCCATCACCATCATCATCTTTATCCAAGTGATCAGGAATGCCATCGCCATCTGAGTCCTCTTTTTTGTCCGGAATACCATCACCATCATCGTCGTCATCCTGGTCATCAGGAATTCCATCATTATCATCATCGTCATCTAAATAATCAGGAATTCCATCTCCATCGGTATCTTTTTCTTTGTCATCTGGAATGCCATCTCCATCATCATCATTGTCAAGATGATCTGGAATTCCATCTCCATCGGAATCCTTCAGATTCTTACAACCGTCCTTGTCGCAGTACTCTTTATCATCACTTATGCCATCACCATCGTCATCATTGTCTTTGTTATCAGGAACACCATCGTTATCATCATCATCATCAAGGTGATCAGGAATACCATCACCATCAGTGTCTTTATTCTTGTCCTCACCAAACCAGAGCAGCTTTCTACGAAGTTGGCAATTTGATCCACACGAAAACTGAAAATAGCAATCATTAAAAAACTACTGAGTATATAAACATAATTATCTTATCATTCTTTTGTCGATTAATCATTTTCAATGTGCCAAATAATAGGGCATTTTAAAGTAAATTTTCAGGATAGAGTATATTTTGAAAATTACCCTGGCATTTGAAAGATGCATAAGTATGTTTTATACAAAATTCTTAAGTGCTTGAGACTGGAGACTTTTCATTGATTTTTGTATCTTCTTTAAGCTGTTCTTCTAGCAGAGAAGTTGAATTTATTACATTTTCAATAGTGAATACTGTGATTTATTTGTTGAATAAAAGTTATATTCTTTCATAGTGTGAAAGGAAACCAAAATGATACTCTGTCACATTGTGAAAGGATATCAAAGTAAGTAGAAATGATTTTTGGCCTGCCATAACAGAGAGATATTAAGTAACCATCTTGATAGAGACTAAAACTGTAAATTTCCTCCCAAATATATTGCTAAAATCAATGTGAAAATGTTATCACGTACGTCTCAACCGCTCAACTATGACGTCACAGCCTATAACACTGTGTTAAGAAGACAGGGGCATAGAGAAATCAAAGAAAATGTAATAAACAGAAAATTCAATGTTTTGTAGTTAGATATGACATTTATTTCACTCGTGAGACAGGATTTTTTAATATTTTCACTCGTGCTTCGCAAACGTGAAAATATGCAAAAAATACTGCCCCACTCGTGAAATAAATTCCAAATCCAACAACAAAACATAGAATATCCTCTATGTATTTAATAAGAACAAATACCAGAAAAAAGAAATTAAACTAACATTTTTTTTTTTACCGTTTACTCATGGTTTCAATTTATGTTATAAAATCTGTAAACAAAATACTTACTATTTTGAAGATGAACTGATACATGCGATGTCATCAATGAAAGTATCATGCATGTTCTCACACGTTCAAACGTGCAGAATAAACTATATAAATGAAAAAAACTTCAAGCATGTAACATCATTGGCCTTTATTTAATGACCTTGACATTTCATCGAAGATGGGGTTTCTGCTGATTGAGTTTGTCACCAGTGTAGTTTGCAGATTCTTTCTGAGAACAATAAACTCATTGTGCATGTACATAAAGACCTCTCATTTCAGTGGACTGGTTCATCTGAAAAACTGAAGCTTCGCTGAGTGTGTTTGATTGATAGTCAAAACACAATGTCCAATACCTATAGAAAACACTACATATGTAGCTGTATCTGATTTGCCATAATGATTTACAGGCATATTATACATGGGGAATGGTGGAAAATATCTCACTGCCAATTTCTCACCTACTCCGAAGCCCCTCCCCACCTCATAAAACTTTGTAAAACCAAATTGAATTCTTTTAAATTAATTTTAGAATCCGAACAGTTGTTCAAGCAAGACTGAAAAGTAAAGTTTAGAATGTGAGATTCTGTTGTTATTATATGCATTTCTAAAGTATGCACCCTGATACTTTAAATAATGAATTTTTAAGGCACTCGTCTCGCACTGCAATAATACATCTTAACTGTAGGTTTTTCGTTCTCATTATAAACACTGTCATATACAAAACCTAGTTTTCACGTACACACTTATCTGTTGTATATTTTTATTACACTACCACTTGAACTTCACTAAAATTCTGGTGTCTGATCATATTATTATGTCCTGGTGTCTATTTTACGACATTCATAAAATTTCTATTAAATAAGATTTTCTACCGGGTCAGAAGTCCTTTTAAGGGGAAAAAAATTGTATTGAAATATAATAGGGACATTTACGAACTCAAGATGCCCAATTATATATGCAGAAGTTGTCACATTCAGATAGCACTCCAAAGTGCAAGAGGAAATAAATAAACTAGAAGCAGTACTGGTATAGAGCGAGAATAGGAAACTTGAGAAGCTCCTACTTCCTTGTATTAGTTTTTACCGAGTTTTAAATGAATGTAATCTTTGTCGAAACATTTTTTTTTTTCACATTCTGAAAATTATCACTGATCTCAGATAACCTTTTCTATTTGGAAAAAAAGCTTGGAGAACACACAAATAAAAGATATTGATCACGTTACATTCCTCAATTTACCAAACCTACGTGTAAACATTTACCTTTCCACTTTATACCTACCTATAAAAAATTATAGTAAATATCTATCGTACAAATAAACGGCCGTACCTAAAAATAATGTCAATTGAAATTCATGCTCATTTCAACTTTGAAATCTTTGGACAAAATTAGCCTTCTTTCTTAGTAATTCATATTTTTCTCGAATCTGACAATTATCCGAGTATCAGGAGTTGGACAGTATTATAGTACTTGTTCATTATCACAACAATTTGTTAAACTCCAAAGCGTAAAGGAGCTTCAGAATTTTAATATTTTATTACATTTTCAATAAAAGATCAGCTTATCCAAATCAAGGGACTTCAACATTACCATGGGACAGGAATTCAATATTTTCATAACTACTATATCCAATATTTTTTTTTTATTTGGTTTCTGCATAGACAAAAATAACGGTGTCATTTGTGTCTGTGGTTTCTGATAACACGGTCATATAACTCACTGTCATCATGCATAGTTTATCTTTTGAACATCTAGATATAAAAAAAAAACACAATGCTTTTAAATACTTGTATCTGATGATTACGCATCATCAGGGATCCAGGAAATGAGATGTGAAATTTTGGTAAATCCTTTAAAGTTCCTTTATCATATATTTGTTAATTGCCCAAAAGTAACGATTAAGTGCTCTGGACATGAACTTAATAATTTTGATTTATTTTTTTTTAATTGAAAAAATTCTATCAAACACAAGTGTACATACCGAGTTTACCTAGTTCATTTATAACATAGGGTACCTGCCACTTTTTCTCCAGGAATAATGTTTAAGGAAGCTCTAAACACTAACGAAAAATGCTTTTTGGACTTTGAGAAAAATATATCATATAAAGGTGCACATATTCAGTGTATCTAGTTCATTTTCAACATTGGGTATCTGCCTTATTTATGCAGAAAAAATGTTCAAAGACAATGAACTATTTGTGAACAGAAATTACTGTTGTTTACTTGCATCGGGAAAATTAATGGAAATAATGTATTCAATTACTTAATCTTGGTCAAACATAACATTAAGAATACTTTAATTCATAAGAAATTGTGTCATTAATTGTAGATTCCCATTTATTCTATTTTTCTTCTAAGGGCAGATCACTCTAACTCAATAAAACTACTCTACAAATAAAACTCTTTAGTGTGCAGTGTTTAGAGCTTCCTTAAAGTCAATGAAAAACATTGTACTAATGGAGAGAAACCACCGTTGTTTACTTACATCAGGAAAATACATGCGTATATTTTTAATTACTTTATCTTGGTCTAATACAATGTTAAATATTCTTTAATCTGTTTCATATCGTGTCATTTATTATAGATGTGTACTTAATTTTACATCGAAGGGCAGATCACTCGAACTGCATAAAACTACCTTTTGATTATTGAACATCTCATTGAGCAGTGTTTTGAAATTCCTTCAAGCTCATCACGAAGATTTTGAGTGGTATAAGAATCAATAATACACAAACAAGCCAAGCCAACCTTAGAGCCTGAATTCTGTTGAAATGAATATCAAGGAATATAATTACTAATTATAATCATGGAAAAACTTCTTGGTTGCTGCAGATCCAGGACTAAATCTGTTCAAATTATAACCATCGATGTATGACCACCTTAACACTAGGGCTATGAATTTCATAAATATTCTGTAGATTTCTACTTGCTAATTTAAATTACATGTACAAGTCTACAAAATGATGTGTAGATTATCAAGACAAAAAAAAGTTTTAAAACATGTGCCAATTACAAGTAAATGGCTTTGTCCCCACCAAAGGGAGGTGTAGCCAGAAGGAGGGACTGACTGAGCAATACATCCCCCACCCCTTCACCTTAAAATGCATTGTACCAAAACTGAAACTTGTTGAACCATCTCAGACCAGAAGATAAACATGTATTTAGTTTCCAATGCAGGACCAATTGGATAAAATTGCCAAATCTACCAATCCACTCAGTTGACTTAAAAATAGTACAGAGGCATTTTAAATATTGGTGCCAAGTGAACTACATTTATTTTATTGTTGTAATTTATAAGTCAATGGCCAGTAGCTTTAATTAAATTTCAATTTCCAAGTCTGGTATTCTTTCTTATCTTAACTTCCTCAAACATACAGAAGCTTGACTCATATCATGAATCACTTGTACAGTTTGTATCATTACAAGGAAGTTGCTATAAGACCTGGGCCAAAGTCTCATTTATTAGGAGTAGAAGTTCAAGTTGTGGGTAAAATTTCACCATGTATATGTACACATCACAAAAATTCAGTCTAGATGACAAGAAAATTAAACACAATGTACACCTTTATATTTAATATGTTTTTTATTCAAAAAAAATATAGACTCTGAGAATCTGGACCTAAGGCAGGTAAACACACACACATACAAACAAATCATCCAACACCAGAGCTGCTGAAAAAAATTATCAGCACTTCTTTGGAGTTTTTCATTAAAGTCATTTCCTTATTGGCAATCATTATGCCAAGGTTTGATTTCAATAAGTAGAACATGGTCCCCTTGAATGAAAGCTTCCCAAGTGAAAACAGAACAATAATGGATGCATCATAATGCATGGTCAGTGCAGGTAGAACTGTTAGTGTGTTGATGGACATGTGACAACAAAAACATACTCAACCTTAGCATTTACTCTCTGTAAGTATCTAAGTACAAAATAACCCATAAACAAATGGCTCAGACATGACAGGACACATACACACACTCGCATATCACAAAATATAAATTACGGAAATTTCTAATCACATAACGCATTCAAAAATGGAAAAGTGTTCTTGGGAGAATGTCTCAACGTATTGCTTTACTCGGTCGTTCACAACACTGCGTGAAAAATTGTCACAAGATTTTGCATAAAATATATATAAAAATGGAATTCTTGTTTTCAGTTTGACAACATAGCACTAAAATTCATTTTGGTCTGTCTTGTGTGGAAAATGAATGAGAGAATGGTGAAAAATGATTGCTATGAGAATCCTGGGTTATAACTCATCCTTGGTTTCGTCTTTCTTTTCTTCCGATTTCTGAAATAAAGAGATGGGAGAAAATTCAGCTAGATTCGAAGTTTCTTTTTCCTCTTATAATGGAACTTTGTTATCAACGGATCATTTGCACCCACTTTTTTATTTTTTGTCTCAATTTCTACTTTTCATTCGTAGAAATACTTCTCAACTTTTGAAAAAAAATTTGCACTAAACAATTTTTTACTATTACAAGTATCTATTATGATCCAAATAGTGTCAAACACAAACAAAGACTTTTTCAGTCAAAATAACTTTGCTAAGAGCGACTCTTTAAGCAAAACAATGAAGTCCACTATAATGAATTTTCTCCCATCATCCCATAATACGTCGCCTGTGTTGTTTTTATGAATTACAGTGATGGAACAATTTAGTGAATTCTATTCTACAGGCTGTCACAATTAAAATAAGTCACGCATGATGATTTGTCCAAATGGAGCTATCATGCATCAAAACAATAAAGTCATGCTCAAAAATTTGAATTTTCATTGATTTTTTTTTCAGAAGGTGAATGTTGGTAACAAACACAGGCAAAGCTGAATGGAATGATGGGATATATAAGAGCTAAGTCAACATCACTCATTGTCAATCATGCAAAAACAATTTTTTTTTCAATTAAACTCACTAGCTTGCTCTCTATACTTTAAAAAAAAATCCAGATATCTCAAACTTTAATTCTGATGTAATTAAAAAAAAAATCAAATTCAAAATTCTTTTTTCAATACTTTTCCAGTGGAATTTTTAATGTAAAGTATATTATCATTCAGAAAGTAAAAATTATTTGCAGAATATAGAGAACAAGAACCATAACTCTAGAAGGTAAAGCATAAATCAAGACTTTTTTCAGTGAGAAGATTGTGCCTTAAGTTTAACTTACCTTATCATCATCACTGGTTCCTTCATCATCATCACTAACTTCTTCAGCCTTCTCTTCCTCAGCTGATTCTTCTTCTTCTGGCTCCTCCTCAATCTATGACCAGAAAACAGTCAAAATTTATCATGGAAATGGGAAAGCAATAGCTATTAAAATATTTTGTCACATGTTCCAGAGTTACTCCCCTTCACATTGTTTGGATTTGCTGGTCTTAATATTAAAAATTTATGAACTCAAACCCATGTGCATTTATCTAACAAGCTCATTATGGTTGAAGAAATTATCAATAGAGATATTTTCACACACACTTAAACATATCTAGAATAATTTAATGACCTACCTTGGCATCTTGAGGAATGTTCATGGCTTCCCTCAACATGTGCTCAACTCTTTCAGCAAACCCAGATGTGTCCTGGAGGGCATAGCCAGACCTAATAGTAGCCGTCTCAAACATGACCACAGCCAGATCCTTGGCAATCTGGTCTTCAGCATTTGCCTGTACAAAAAGAAGACAAATATGTATGTAATACACATTACAGCTTTTATTTTCAAATTTTAAAACAAATTCAAAAATGTCGTAGACAGAATATTTTACTACCCGATCTTTAAATTACCTACCTCAACCCTTGATTTTAATTCCTTGATAAGAGGATGTCTGGGATTTATTTCTAATGTTTTCTTCTGAGTTGAGTAAAATCTATCAAGAAAAACATTCAAAATGAAATAAAACCAAAACTATCTGATGGAATATTTCCACATACATGTCTAAGATATTTCTTGACTTTGAAATACTTTAAACAGGAATAATGAACTTGTGAAACAATGGGGGAAAAAACCTACTGTTGTGAAGGGTCCTGTTGTTTGGCATAAGCTTGAGATCTCATGATTCTCTCCATGTTTCCAGACCATCCATAAGTACTGGCCACCAGAGCACAGGGAGATGTGGTTAGTCGGTCAGACACTGTGGCCTTGCTGATTTTCTCCTTCAGAGCGTCAAGATCTTGCAGCCATTTGGTTAGTGGTTCGTATTCCTTCTCCAGGGCTTCCTTGCGTTCCTTGGTCTTTTCAGAGTCATCGTCGATTTTCAGACCTTCTTTGGCAACATTCTGGAATTTCTTGCCATCAAATTCGGGAAGAGATTGGATGCAGTATTCATCAACAGGTTCAACAAGGTAAAGAACCTCATAGCCTTTCTTCAGCAGACGTTCAACAAATGGAGATTTCTCAACCTGCAGAGAAAAAGAAAGGAAACATTTCATCAGCCTTCCTCATCAAGAACACCAATTTCATGTTTTATTTCTGAAAATGGGAGTTATGTACCATTATTAAAATCAAATATTGGTACTGTTAATTACTTTTTATTTGCAAGAACTCTATTTTCATACAATTACATAAGACTGACTGCAATTGAAAATTTCATTCCTGCATATATTAAAGATTATAATGACCAAAATAAACAACATTCATGAAAATTTTGTCTTGCAGCTCTCTTGCAGAAATAATGTATTGCCAAAATTTTGATGATTTACAGCATTTTTATTTTATTTATTAATTTCTGACCTCACTCCTGCTAGTTCCAGCTACAAAGTAAATGGCCTCCTGCTTCTCCTTCATCCTTTCAATGTATTCAGGCAGACTGGTTTGTTCTGTTTCAGAGTTGGAGGAGTAGAATCTGAGCAACTTGGCCAGCCGAGTTCTGTTGGACTGATCCTCAATCACACCCAACTTAATGCTGAAATAAAAACAAACCAATATTGATTTATGACTTAAATAATGAAAGTTAACAAACTTACAACATTGAATATTTATTTGTCAATATTGTGAGACAACTATACATCATTGACAGAAATAAATCTTGACAATGGTAGACTGCTGTCATTGTTTTATCTTCCAGAACATAATTTCAATGAGAACATTTGTATTTCACCATCGAACTCAAAGTCTGGAGTTATAAGCTAGATCTAGGTATTTAAAAATTTATCTCCTTCGTAGATTATTGCCAAGGTATGTGGCCATAACAAATGTGATTAAAGGGCAGTAACTCTCCGATTCTCAAGAAACTTTGGCAAAACAAATGAACAAGAATACACATATTTTGCAACAAGCAACCCTCCCCCCTTTTCATTTTTTTTGTAACTGAAGTAAAAATTCACATTCACAGTAGTTTATCAGGTCTTCTACAAGATCTGTGACTTTAATACTTACTTTGTGCTGTATTCCTTCCAGAATTTCTCATAGTCGTCCTTGCTGATCTTTTTAATCATATCCAGTGTTTTTCTGACCAATTTCTTCTTGATTACCTTGAGAAGTTTGTGCTGCTGGAGGGTCTCACGGGAGACGTTCAATGGAAGATCATCAGAGTCCACCTAGAATATAATCAAACCAAACAATTCCTGAGAAAGGCAACTTGGCAAGGGTGAGCGACAAAGATTGCCTAACGATAAATTAAACGCATCATGTTGAGCAGTTACTTTTACTGAAAAGATTATAAAATTGCATACAAATAACTACCTAAGGCAGGACTAGAAATAATTATTTTTGTTTCCTGGTCACTCAGGCCATCGGCTTAAATTTTTACTGGTCAGCTTAGTACTTTCTCTGTCCCACTGGGCCAGTAGATTTTAAAAAGACTGGCCCAAAGCCATAATAATAATAGTAATATATTTTATATTGTGATACTTAGTACAACTTAACAAAACAAGAAACAGCAGAAGTTGGGACACACAACCCTGTCAAGATAACTAGGCCGACAATGATTGAATTTTATTATGCATAAAAAAATGCTGATTCAAAGGGCACATGCCCTCTGCAATGTACTAGCCCAGATTGAAAATTCACTGGCCCCAGACCAGTGGGCCATCAATTATTTCAAGCCCTGCCTAAGGTGGCCTTAAAGGCAAATATACAAATAGAATTCTACTTACAACTCCCCTGACGAAACTGAGGTATTTAGGCATCATGTCCTCAAAGTCGTCAGTGATGAAAACTCTTCTGACATACATCTACAATGAGAAATAACACTCATTACGGGTATTACGAATAAAGGAAATTGATGAGAAAGTCTCCAAACATTCTCTCATAACAAATGATCACTTTTAATAATATTTCAGTGTTATCATGTAGAAAGTCATGTGTAACATACCTTAATGGATTCCATTTTCTTTCCGTAGTTGGAGAACATGTCATGAGGGGATGATTTGGGGACATAGAGGATAGATTTGAAGGTGACTTCTCCCTCAGCGGTGAAGTGGGTCCTGGCCAGAGGAGTGTCACTGTCCTTACTGATGGATTTGTAGAACTCATTGTACTCTTCATCAGTCACATCATCGGATCTAAAAAGTTGTTATAATTAATTTAAATCAAATTCTCTAAATTATTCATTACATCATTTAACACGTTTTGAAAAGGCTACCAATCTGTGTACGCATTTTCAGTGAATACTGATAAATCTCATAGAATATGGCTAAAAATGTGGAGACAAATTTTCAGCCACAATCCTGAGATAAGGAACAAATTAGTGAGATGACAAAGGATTTATTATTTTATTTATATATCATGTTAACTTTGAAAATTGGAATGTCAGAAGTTTAATTTTTCAGAACTGCAAAAAGGCCACATAAATGTTATGTAGACCAAATTTTATTTTCATGCAATAATCATAATATTCACGGTGGCGTCGTTTAAAGTGCAAATATTTCTGGCCATGACAACTATTTAGTTAATATATATTTGTGAAGAATCTTTACTTGGTTGCGAAATTAAGGATCAAAGAAGAATTTAGAACTAAAGAATTGCAAATTAGAGCAATGAAATGCAAATAAAAGCTACCCCATATAATAATACACAGTTTAAAGTGTATAATAATACCAAAAGGCTGAAACAAACTCTCACTTTCTGGTCCAGATGGGTTTGACACTGTTCATCAGTTCCCAGTCCCACACAGTCTTGGTCACTTTCTTGGTCTTGGGTTTGTCCTCATCCTTCTCCTCCTCAACCTTTCCCTCCTCATCTTCTTCTTTCTCCTCATCCTTAGCTGCCTCCTCTTTTGTTTCCTCCTCTTCCTCAATGGGCTCCTCAACTTCCTCAGTCTAAGGATTAAATCAAAAGTATTGGCCAGGTTAACTGAAGTAAGCACACACACAATATAGATGATTAATTTAACTGCTGGTATTTGAAAATATATGGAGCAAACTTAATCTTTCTAAGAAAAAATCCGGATTTTTAGCTTGCAAACTGTAAAAAGGAATCAATTTATCCCTATTTATTGAAACAAATGAAGACATTAAAATCTGGATTGCCATGTGTGTTTTAGTTTTGATTAATATCAATCATAAGATTGTAAGAGCCAACTGCTCTATATATATATACCTTGCTGGCCCAGATGTAGATGGGGAAGTTAATGAACTGGGAGTATTTCTTGACCAGTTCCTTCAGTGTATTTTCCTCCAAGAAGTCGTGTGCCTCTTCCTTCAGATGAAGACTGCAGAAAGATAACAACACAACAGTGAGATACATTTATACTGAGGATAGTTGTCTTTCTTTAATACTCTGATAATACAGTTTTCCAGCGAAACTTTGGAGAAAACGCAGCAATACTATGCTTATTAATTTTGTTCTACTTCAGAATGAATCCTTTTCAAGAAAAAGAAATGTCAGCTAGATGCTCTTTGACATCCATACCTGATTGTAGTTCCTCTGCCCAAAGTGTTGCCTCGGGGATCCTTGGCAACAGCGAAGCTTTCAGAGTCAGACTCCCAGACATGTTGCTCATCGTCATTGTTTTTAGATGTTACGATGACACGATCAGCAACTGTAATGCAGAAAACTCTCATTATTTTCAAAATTGGATGGCAACCATTTACGCACAAATGCATATTGAATATTTTATCCAAATCAGCAATAGTAACAGAAAATTCACAGGTGCGTATTGAATATTTTATCCAGACCAACAATAGTAACAGAAAATTCTGATTACTTTTCAGAATTGGATGGCTAACATTAACAACACAGGTGCATATTGAATATTTTACCTAGTTTATATATTAATAACTCACTTTATCATTTTCTTCAATCATATCTCATTATCATTAATTTTGTTTACCATCAGCAAAAATAGTAATTATTCACAGTGATCAAATGAATGTACCAGAAGGCATTTAGATCTTGAATTTGTATTAACTTTCTTAGCATAATCCACTTATCATCATCAAAATCATATACATTTGTTTTTTTTAACCAAATAACAAATGTAGTACAGTTAAATGTGGCAAGTTAAATGAATTCTTGTAAACCAACATCAAACTTCTATCAACTATTACTAACATAGACCAACATGTTTATAAAAATGAGCAAGAACACAATATCTTACCAAGGAAAGATGAGTAAAAACCGACTCCAAATTGTCCAATGAGATCAGACATCTCTGTCTGTGACTCAGCTTCTCCGAGTTTGGTCAGGAACTCGCTGGTACCAGATCTGGCAATGGTACCGAGATTATTGACGAGATCGTTGTGTGTCATACCAATTCCTGTATCTGTGACGTGTAGGACGTGATTTTCTTTATCAGCCTGAAATGTAAAGGAAAAAGTTTTGAGAAAAATTGTAAAAGAGTTGCATATTCTCATCTTTTATGATTTTTTAATTATTCTAAATACTATCATTTACCAGTAATTGCAGATGATTTCAATTTAATGCAGAATTATAATGCACCAGAGGATATAAAAGGGGGAACCAGGGGCCTGCATCCTCCCTCTTTTGTGACCCAAAATTTACTAAAGAAATAAAATCCTTTTATTTTTATTTTTTTTGGTTAGACATTGTTTTTATGTATATAAAAAGATAGCTTAAATAACTCATAAAATTGTTTAAAAGTTAAAACGTGGGATCTTCCATGGGCTTTGCCCCTGGGCCACCATCAAATCTTCTGCTCACACCCTATTAACCCTTTGGGCCTCCCCTTTCTAGAATCCTTGATCTTCCAATGTAATTTGTCATGTCCGACAATATATCTGTCCTAGCTTGTGGTATTTATGTATATCATATATAACAATACACATTTATTTACATATATTAGTACTACCAATATCTAGTTTACAAGATCAATGGTAATTTATTTGGACACCATCAAAGTTCATCTCATTCCAATGAACTTTTTGTGCTAGATTCATGCAAGCATCTACAACCTAGTTTCATTTTTAACCACTCCAGTATCAAAGAGGTGACTTTATTTACACAGTAATTATTAGTGTGCAGTGTGCTGCAGGTAAAATGCTCTTTTCCTCCTCTCTGTATCCACAATTATTTCTATTTTTTTGTTCCCCTCGATTGCCTACAGATGTGGAAATGCTTTGAATCCCCATTGCAGCAAGAACATTTGCATCGTAAACAGCTCAATTTAATTAGAATCTATGCCTAAGTATTCCAAAACCATAATCAATTCCCCTCTGTTCAAGGACTCATAAATATGCTACCTTATTATAAATACTCTGAAATATTTCACAGATCAACAAATCTTGCCATCTGCAATTTTTTCTTTTAATTCCTCTTGAATCTTACTTAAAAATGAATTTTATCTCATCAATATTGTTTACTCTGATGATAACCAATAGAGCAATGTGGTATCTGACTACATCAATTGCGTAGAAAGAAATTATCCTATTCTGATACTGTCACAATAAATTATCTCATCTACTTATAATTGCTCTATTAATAAAGTCTCTGGCATGCAACCTGCCTAAACAGAGAAGATTCTCCTCAGACATTACAATAGGGGACCATCTCAAAACAAATAATTGTAATAAGTTCTGATAGAGCAGGCCTGCACTAATTATGGTGAATATCATTTTGCATTTTTTTTTAATCAAACATACCTGTGAAAAAAAATTCTATATTAACAATAATCTATTAATTTTTCTGCTCAGTGCTGTGCCAATAGAGTATAGATAATGTATGCCCTTTGGTTTCTATACCTGAAACATGTGAATTTGTTCTCTTACATAATACCATATGAATCTTGACATTAATGCAATGAAGGGAGTGTTGTTTATCAACTATAATCATAAACAACATTTACATCTTCATTTATACTTTCAACATTTGCAGCCTCTGCACAGAATTCTACATAACACAGTCAGGGGTGAGACTGAAATCCGTCATTTTTAAAATGACGATTTTCAGTCATAAAATAAAATTTTTATAATGACTTAAACTCGTCATTTTTAAGAAAATGACGAAAAACAGTCATAAAAATTTAGAGTGTTTCTAGAATACCGAGTTACGTCTCTTTGAAAAATGTTAGATCCACCAACCGAAAAAAGGACAAAAAACATCGTAAACAAACTTCATTTCTCTAGTACAGTTGACTACAATACTGGTTATGTTGACAGTACAAATTTCCCAAGCAAAAATAAGAGTGGAAGAGTTATTTGTCAATTTATTTGCATTAAATAGGAAAGAAGACGAAAATGACGACATTCCGTCTTTTTTCAAAATGGAGGGTCTGGGCGCACTGAAATATCTCGCTTGTTTTACGGGGCGCACTACTTTTTAGTGGCTTTAGCTTTTTGTGGAGACTTCTCTCTACAAGTACGTATTCTTCCAGACGGTGTACTATATGTTTTTATAGGACTAAAAGCCATGTAAAAATGGTGAATTAGTTCTACCAAAATTCGACATTTTACCACTAAATAATAACTTTCACCTTCCATGTTGATGTTCTAACGCACGTGGTCGGCAGTAATTAGTGACCCGGATGAAATGAAACTTGCGTAAACACTCTTCTTTCAGCGGTGAATTCAAATTTTGCTTTTATGTAACCAGGATAGAAGAATTAAGTTGAAAAAGAAAATATGACGATAGTAAGTCATATTGACAAAAATGACGAAAATGCGTAGTTGGTAAATATGACGATTATCCATCATTTTTCAGAAATGACGGATTTCAGTCTCACCCCTGACTGTAACATTGCTAGTGACCTTGCATGTGTACGTTTATGTTTGAATGAAAACGAGACTTGCACTTCACTGTAACAATTAAAACACAAGCTGCTTTCAGAATCTTCAGATCTTCATCATAATTTTTCAAGCTGTTTTCCTGTATCATGGATAAGTTGTTCTCATGTTGTAAACAATAAATGACGTTTGAGCAAATACACAGTGTGAGAGCTGTTATGTGTAAATATTTCAGACCCACAACAAAAGTCTATTGTAATTGATGAACAGTAAGTTTGTTTACATATAAAGTGAATCTAAACACCCCCAAGCCCTCCTTCAAAACACAGTGTATCATACTGTGTAATCAAGTTAATGAGTTGTGTTTTGCTTTATCACTGTGCCAAACATCTACATTGGAAGTTCTTCTATTTAATAAACAAATAACACGCTCAAGCAAACCTGCATAAAAGAACACGGTTCAAGTGTACTTGTAACAGTTTGTGATGCATCCCTGTCAAAAATATCAGCTTCAAGTGAAATGCTCGTTTTTAAACCATTTTTTTCTTCTACTCTACTTGAAAACAAGGGGGAACAACCCTTTAATTTTCTGTAATTATAATAGCTTAAACTCTTCCAGAGAATAAAGCTTAAAATTTAAAGTTGTAGAAATTCAGTATAGCATATGGGACATTTTTTTTTTACTTGAGATAAATTTCTTATAAAGGAATGGATATAAGAATTTTCCCTATTTTCACAGAGCCATTCCTCCTTAAGGAGAAGGTCACTCCACCTTAAGCAGCTTTAACTCCACCTTATTAAGCTACATTTTGTTTATAAATTGTACCCTAATAACATATGACTTATGAAAGAGATGGTTGGGTATATTATAAGCAAAGTTATTCAAAATGTACCTTGATTTTGATACTCAGTTCTTCTGTTGCAGCTAGTGCAGATTTGTCCGTCAGAGACAAGAAGCGAATCTTATCCAAAGCATCAGAGGCATTGGAGATCAACTCTCTCAGGAAAATCTATGAAAAAAAATAATGTAATAACTATTATGAATATTTTCTAATTTACCTCTCAGTCAAATATATTTGCTGGATTGATGAAACAAGAGCGTTTAACATAATGTTAATATGAGAGCACACTCATAGAATTAGTTGACCCGTAACTTTAAAAGAAAGTAGAATTACTATGGAAAACTTATGGTTGTTTTTGAGAGAACTTTTAAAGAATTTTCAGGTGCTAATTGTTCCTCTTTGTTTATGGACCTCAAGTCAATGGTACCTCTTTGGTTTTGTGTATTAATTTAATGTTTTTCTTTGTTTAAATTCATGGAACCTCTGTGTTCTTTGATAGTAGAACCTCTTTGTTTTCATATTCATAAATTAATGGTACCTCTATGTTTTTGTTTAAGGGTACTCTTTGTTTTTGTATAAGTAAATGGTACCTCTTTGTTCTTGTATAGGGAGTTGATGATGAGCTTCATCATGCGGTTGACCTCCGCTTGGAATGCATGTTTCTCCGCTTTGTCGCGGAGTTCCTTCATCTGAGCAACATTCAGTCCATCTAACTTGATGGCTTCCTCCTCTCTGAAATAAAAACATCCATATTTTAGCAAGATTTCCAGCAATTTTTTCTTCCTTAACAATTCTTTTTAATTCATAAAGCAATCAGTTTGCTGTTACAATGCATAACTTTGAATATTCAGATGACAAGAATCTTGAGCAATACCTCTTTTTAAAAACTGGAAAATATTTAAGAGGGGTCTATACAACTCACATTGGAACAAAAAATGTGAGAAAAAATATATTCTGATGCTAACTTTTAGATATTCCTGTTTCAGTGTCAGCAATTATCATAATTACAATTGCATACATCAAATTCCATCAATTTAAGCATGTGCTGCTGCATTTACCAATATTTTTTTTTTTTAAACATAATTTCTGCCCATCAATCAGGCTTATGGCACCTGCATTTTCCCCCCACATACACAAGCAAGAAAAAACTCATCACATCTTAATAACCAGGTGGGAGTCGAACAGTGGTATAATCTTGATAAAGTCTGGCATCTCTCTTAATCTTTACATATATGCAAGTGTACTTGTTGGAGTCAGCATGATGTATGTAAATTGTGTGTTTGTATGCTTCTGTAATTTTGAGCACAGTCCGTTATGAACCCTGGCATCACATGAAAGCATTTTATTGACCAGCATATTTCCTGATCAAGGAATACTGGAATATATATATTTTTAAAGTGTGTATTGTAACATATACCGTAAACACTCTTATCCCTTAGCCAACATGTTAGCTGATAAATAACAGTAAGGAAATTCCATTTCACTGACTCTTCTTATCATTAAGGGATTTTGGGAAATGGATATTTTACACATTTTCCATTTTAAAATATGCTTAATATTCTTACACAATTGCTAATAAGGGGCGCTATAGGAGGCAGTGTAGTTTTAGTGTGAACAGTAATATAAATTTATAATAATATAATAACATACCAACTAAACTACACCAATAAATAAACCTATATATCTTATGTGTGTAACACTAGTTAGCCTGATGCGTGTTACATCAATATAAGATGCAGGTGGTATTCCTTCTCCCACAGCTAGTAAACATCATATACACAATGTATGAACAATCAAATCTGACTTCACATGATGTTTCATAACCTCATGGATATCCTGGAATCACTGGTTTATGTATGTTAATAAAGTTCTAATCTCCATGATCTCCCTACCTATACCCTCATCAATATCTGTCTTCATATAAGGGCCTTATCATACACAATAAAAACTCTCTGTAATGAAACAACAGTAGAGAAACAGGCACTGTATCTATCAAACCAGAACTGGGGCCTCTAATAATTCTTCATATTGATCAAGTTGATAAACTGATGTTTTGTCCAAAACTGAATCCATTCTTATAGATTCACTCTGAAACAACCATTTCTGATAAATGAAAGCTAAATAATAAAGTTTTTTTACAAAATTTATTCAATTTTTTGTCTAATCATGCTTATAATTTGGTAAATGCAATTTATTTGTAAATTTCACTGCATGGAATCCTTAAATCAACCTAATGCCTTCGAGCATGTTTTAGCTAATAATGGTAAAACTCAATCCAATTTGGAATTTGAGGATGTGCACATTAGCATTGCACTTAAACTTGCATACTCAACATATATAATCAATGGCCAAGGATAACACCTCTTCCAGTTGACAGACAATGGCAACCTGTTCTTCATTAGTTTTATGAGGTTAAAGGTAGAGAATATCAGAGCTGACAATTCGCAGATGTAAGCAAATATTGCCATTCTCCCCTTCATGTATTTTTTTCCAGACAGAAATCACACATAGGAAGCACTTTCTGCATCAGCAGCAAGCCATCAAACTCTGCTCTTCTAAGATGGTCCTCGATCTCTTCATTATCACAGCTATTCATAATCTAATGCAGGTAATTATTGTTTTCCTTATAGCTATTGGCACAAAATAAATCAGCCATGAAAGGTCGCAGAAGGTCACACTTTTCACCCATAAGTGGTTTAAGGGTCATACACTTGAAAAATAGCACTTACACAATAAACATAATCCTGATTTGTCAAGATTTTTAATGTTTTTTTGTATATACTGTGCTTTTTCTTTCAAGAGATAATTTCCAAATGGAATCAATTTCAATAAAATAGAAAAAAAATAAGAGTTATATTCAAAGCAAAGAATAATGATACACATATTATTCTATGTATAAGGTAGCTTTTGTCCTCCTATATAGATTTCATGCTATTGCTACTATTCATTTAAAAGATGATTAGACATTAGGTCAAATCTTGTTAAAAGATCTAGGTGCTATCATTGCCTTATTTTGACAACAAAAATTGATGACTGAAGGGTATAGCTAACCCACCATCCATGCCTCTTTAGGGTTTAGAAAGACACATGGGAGAAAGCCATGTCATATATAATTAAACACAGATTTCACACATGTATACGAGTACAGTCTTTATGGAAACCTTCCAATCTTGTGACAATTTAGATATTTGTGCTTTGAATATTACTGGTTACTGCAAGCCTTCTCTTCTTCTCACATTTATGCTAGTTTACACTTTTTCTGGACGTGTATATACCTATATAATTTTAATTTATTAATAATAAACCATTGATGTTAAGCTCTTGCAAACCCAATGTTTTAATAAAAGCAGATTGCCACTTCTGTCTTCAATCTATGAAAACAAGAGTCTGCAGACAGGTGTGCATCTACTTAGATTTGCAAATGCTTGTCATTGTGCCAAGAAGTAAAACAAGAGGCCCATGGGCCACATCGCTCACCTGAGCACATTGGCTAGGCAAAAGCACAAAAGCACAAATCAGTTCAGTATTGAAAGGGTTACCGGGGGGGGGGGGGGGGGGGGGGGGAGGGGGGGGGATACCTGATGATGCTTCCATGTCAATATAACAAATGGCTTTGTTGTACTTGAGTAAATTTTGAAAAATTTTTCCCATATAATCCTTTGTAAAAATTTGATCCCCCATAGTGGCTCCTCCCTATCCCAGAGGTCAATATTTGAAAATTTGAATCTACACTACCTGAGGATGCTTCCATTTCAATATGACTAAACATAGCTTTTCTGTTCTTGAGAAGAAATATTTTTTCTGCATGTTCTTATGTAAAACTTTCAATCCCCCATTGGGCCCCACCCTACCCCAGGGGTCATCATTTGAACGAATTTGAATTTACACTATCTGAGGATGCTTCCATATCAAAATGACTAAACATGATTTTCAGTTCTTGAGAAGAGGATATTTTCCTATATGTTCCTATGTAAAATTTTCGACCCCCCATTGTGGCCCATCCCTATCCCCGGGGGGTCATCATTTTAACAAACTTGAATTTACACTACCTGAGGATGCTTCCATATCAAAATGACTAATCATGGCTTTACAGTTCTTCATCAGAAGATATTTACCTATATATTTCTATTTAAGACTTTGATCCTCCATTGTGGCCCCGCCCTACCCCAGGGGGTCATGATTTGAACAATCTTGAATTTACACAACCTGAGGATACTTCCAAATAAATATGATCAATCAGGGCTTTGCTGTTCCTGAGAAGAAGATTTTTAAAATTTTTCCTATATATTTCTATGTAAAACTTTGATCCTCCATTGTGGCCCCGCCCTACACCAAGGGGTCATGATTTGAACAAATTTGAATTTTTACAACCTGAGGATGCTTCCACATAAATATGACCAATCAAGGCTTTGCTGTTCCTGAGAAGAAGATTTTTTAAAGATTTTTCCTATATATTTCTATGTAAAACTTTGATCCTCCATTGTGGCCCCGCCCTACCCTCGGGGGTCATGATTTGAACAAATTTGAATTTTTACTACCTGAGGATGCTTCCATATAAATATGACTAATCAGGGCTTTGCTGTTCTTGAGAAGAAGATTTTTTAAAGATTTTTCCTATACATTTCTATGTAAAACTTTGATCCTCCATTGTGGCCCTGCCCTACCCTCGGGGGTCATGATTTGAACAAACTTGAATCTTCACTACTTGAGGATGCTTCCATATAAATATGACTCATCATGGCTTTGCTGTTCTTGAGAAGAAGATTTTTAAAGGTTTTTCCTATTTATTTCTATGTAAAACTTTGATCCTCAATTGTGGCCCCGCCCTACCCCCGGGTGTCATGATTTGAACAAACTTGAATCTACACTACCTGAGGATGCTTTCATATAAATATGACCAATTAGGGCTTTGCTGTTCTTGAGAAGAAGATTTTTAAAGATTTTTCCTATATATTTCTATGTAAAACTTTGATCCTCCATTGTGGCCCCGCCCTACCCCCGGGGGTCATGATTTGAACAAATTTGAATTTTTACTACCTGAGCATGCTTCTATATAAATATGACTCATCATGGCTTTGCTGTTCTTGAGAAGAAGATTTTTAAAGGTTTTTCCTATATATTTCTATGTAAAACTTTGATCCTCCATTGTGGCCCCACCCTACCCCCGGGGGTCATGATTTGAACAAACTTGAATCTACACTACCTGAGAATGCTTCCACATGAGTTTCATCTTCCCTGGCTCTGTTGTTCTTGACAAGAAGATTTTTAAAAGATGCTATTAATTTTTCACTAATTCTTTATTATCTCCCCTTGAAAGAGGGCATGGCCCTTCATTTGAACAAACCTGAATCCCCTTCACCCAAGGATACTTTGTGGCAAGTTTGGTTGAAATCGGCTCAGTGGTTCTTGAGAAGAAGATGAAAATGTGAAAAGTTTACGACAACAACGACGCCGACGCCGACAGACAACGGACAAATTTTGATCAGAAAAGCTCACTTGAGCCTTTGGCTCAGGTGAGCTAAAAAATCCTCCAGTTTGTGTGATATCATTGCATTAATTCTATTTACCTCTGGACGGTTTCATCATCAGTTCTGGAAGCATCTCGACTCTTGCCAATGTCATCCTCCACTTTCACGTCACCTTCTTCATCAGCTGCATAGCACAGACCTAAAAGGCAAATGACATTGAAAAGATAAATGTAAACAAGAGCTACTGATGCAGATACAAACGTAGGTTTAATGGTTTTACTCAGCCTTTAAAGTTACCAACTAATGAACTATAGAAACTGTTTGCAAGGTAACACATCTACAGCTTTCATGACGTAACAGAAAGATTATAAAATGAACTCATCTACTCAGATGTAGGTGGCAAATAGCTTACCTAAGTCAACTTGTAACACCCCTACCCCCGCCCTCCCCGACTGCAGAAAACTTTATTTGCTAAATCTTTAATGACATTAGTTTTGAAGCCGGTTCAATGCATGTAGTTAAGGATATCATGTTTGTATGATCACAAATCATGCTCATTTGACAATAACACGGATCAGATTCTTGGCACACCGGCACGTTGGCGAGGAACGCCATGCGTCCTGCAAGAATGACCTACAAGATCGACTGTATTCTCACTTACCAGACAGAACAAACACACAAAGCAGTCCCAGATAGAAGGTTTTCCACCTCATTCTTCTGGACACTTGATAATTTGTTTATGATGTTGGCTGAAGTCCTGTCAAAACGTCAAAACACGAGAAAATGGCTGTCTGCACGGCGCACTGCCTTGCTGTGAGGGAATTCCCTTATATCGAAATACACCAATGAAAGTTCAACACGATCCATTCATTGACCAATCAAATATTCACAAGTTAAAGCCGAGTTCATCCAACTTGGCTTTGTATGATTGGTCAGATTTTTTTGCATGATCGGGGCCTACTCTATTTCCGCTTTGTAAAAATAGAAATCAAGATTTCTCGCACTTCCTTCCGGAAATTTTTAGTTTACATGGAGATGGTGCGAAAGAAAGCGATGTTTTCACTTGTCAATAGACAGTTTCCTGAAAGGAAAAAAATCCTAGGATAAAGCATTTAATTCTCGTCATGAAGGTAGGTTGAACGTTTAACAGAGGAATTTTTACATGTCAAAATTCACACTTTGAGTTAAAATTTGTTATTTCTCTGAAGAAATGCTCTTTAAAGGGAGCATACTCTTCTGACTTTTAATGTACATAGAAAATGAATTTTAAAATTATGAACGATGAAGAAATTCGTGAAAATGTTTGTAAAAGAAGAAGACGGAGGTAATGATATACTGATATTTCTCTCTTTTTATCAATAATTGGAAAACATAACAGAAAAAATATGTCCTTTGGCAAAAATATATAGAGCATATGTATGCAACATTCATTTTCATATTTATTGACCTATTATAAAGATTCTCTCATTACACACATTATGTAAGATCAATAAATGCATTGGAATTTAAAATATATTGAAATTTTTCTTGTTTTTTAAAAACAAAAAAAATAATCTGACATTAAAACCTCTATATACAAAGTTTTTTTTTCAATATTGATTAATGAAATTTAATTAATTATTATTAAATCAAACCAGTTTACTTTTGAATAGATATTTTTGAAAAGCTTGAATATATTTTCCTTGGATTTTTTTATCCCATTTAAAATTGAACAATTTAATTGTGAATAAATGTGAATGATCATTGATGTAATATATTGATTGTATTAAAAACGGCTCTGTACATTATTCACTCCTTCTCTTTATCTCTGCATTCTTATAAAGACTGAGTGTAATTACTAATGTGAGATGCATGGCATCCTATTAGTTTGGGCTAGCGGGTTTACCCTTTAGCTCAATTGTAAGGGCACTGGCTTGGCATGCCAGAGGTCCCGGGTTCAATCCCAATGGAAGGCACAAACCTCTCTCTTTCTCTCTTACATTTGGCGCCCATGTTGGGACCCGGGTATTCTCTGGCATGTGAAAGTGATTGCCCTCAGAACTTCACCCTACAGGTGCTGGCACTCCAAAAGAGATGAGGACATCTCATTCTCTGGAGGGGGATAATATGGTAGCATAAGAAACATGGCATCCTAATAGTTTGGATTAGCAGTTTAACCCAACCTTATAGCTTGATAAGTAAAGCACTGGACTGACATGCCAGGGGTCCTGGGTTCAAATCCATTTGGAGGCATAAACCTGTCTCTGTTACACTAACTTTTGACAGATGCATTATGTAAAACATATACTTTAAATGTATATGATTTATAGAACTCATAATTTAGGGTAACCTTCCTCCCTAACTGCTTGATTATAGCACATTCATAATTCTTCAAAAGAAGATGTATTAGTTATATAAAAAAAAATAATAAGATAATTAATTATCATGCAAGCATCTATGCTATTTTCTTATAAGCATAATTGACATAAATTCAAGTTATTATACATGTACATGAATAATTATTAAGCCAAACTGTAGGAACTTTACTGTCTTATACAAGTAAATACATATACTCTATTTTACATTGTAATTAACACTTAAGATAATTTATTTAAATTAATTTTTAAAGAATTGGTTCAATAGACCCCTCTACCTCAAAAAGAAACAGGTAATTCGGTTATGAAGATTTCAAAATACACAATATTTTATTTATATCAAGTTCAACATATATCCATACCAGTCTGTTTAACATGTTTAATTTAGGATCTATATACGGCTTATCAGATGATTGCAAAGGCATGGAGTTCTATCGAAGTTGTTGACATTGAATTAAATGGCAGAATTTACCAGGGGTCACGAAAATTTCTGGCAACCAATGTGTCAAGCACTTGATGTGGGTCCTTAATTTGTGTTAACTTTCAGGAGATAACATTGAGTATTATTTAGTTAGCTCTATTGATTTTTTGCAGGCCATTAAGTTATCAGTTTATTTTAAATATCTAAGTTCCTATGTTTTAATCAACAATCATGATATTTCAAATCGAGTAGCTTTGCATGGCTATATGAACATGCTGCTGGATTAGGTAGGGCACAGTCAATATAGGTCTTAAAAAGTTAAAAATGGACTAAATTAAATATTTCTGATTTTTAGAATTTAACTTATTCCATTTGGCATGTATACTTTTAACTAGTTTAAAGATTTGTATTTTACAAGAATACATCATGAAAACAATATCATCAAGATTATTTTAAAATTATTATTAAAAATCCTGTTCCAATAAAAAAAAAATTTCTTTTAATATATCTTCATGATATACAGATAAGAGTAAGAAACAAATAAGGAATACATTCATTCAATTTCATATAAAATTCCTTTTATAAATTAAACTTTTTGTAATGATTTTAAAGGACACTAATAATGTTTAAGTGCTATTCGATGTCTTTATGTGTAATATATATACATGTATATTAATTTACCCTAAAGATTTTTAACACATCGAGTAAGAGCGCTTGTCTAGCCTGTATAATTTAAGTGCATTAAACATAGATCTTTCATCTTAGGCATAATTTTATAAACCTCTATTTAATGACTCTGAATTGAAAATCCATTAAGAGTATTTTTAATTTTCTCATTTATTTCATGTCTCTCTTGAATTAAGAAAGCACTCCCATTTTTATATTTTGACAGTTATTGTAAAGGAAGTAAATAGATTTTAGAAATAGGGATTTTATGAAGGACGCAGCTAAGAATCACAAACAAAGTACTTTTGATATTGTTGGATTGTGAAGGTTCTAAGGCACCCTAGTAAGTCAATGCTGAATGTTTAACACTGTAATTTGTCTCAACTGAATTTTTAATTGATCATATTGTGCTTCCTCTTTTATTTTATATACAATTTCCATATATTTCAGTCAAACCTCGTTATCTCGAACTCAATGGGACTGAGAAAAAACTTCAAGATATCCAAGGATTCGAAATATTTGGGGTAAAATACTTAAAGAATAAGGGGTTGGGAATTCCCAATCACTTTGACATATCCATGGTATTTGAGATATCAGTGTTTGAGATACCAAAGTTCAACAGTACATCTGTCATGTGGAGTGAATAGGAGTAATTTTGGGGCTAGAACATGTCCTAAGACATGGTCAAATTATTCTTACTAGCATAATTTTAGCCTTAAACATGAAAAAGAGTTATTTTTAAAAATAATGAGTATACACATATATCTGCATGTGCTTATAGTACATGTGTATTGACATTTTAAAACGCCACTCAACTTGATTTTAGGCTGGACATAGTACCATTAAAATCGCTTTAATATATATTGAAGCTCAGCATTCATGGATAGATTGTCTTAGACAGTGCACGCAGATCTAAATTTTTTTGTTTGTACTTATGATTTGATCTGGACTATAAAAAAAAATTCTTATTGACCTCACCTGTGAAGTGGATATTAAATATCATGAACTTTAACAGTGTTTAAAGGTAGGAAAAAGATGCATCATTTGACAATTAAATGCAGGTACGTCTTTAAAAAATGTATTTAGATGATGTAGGTTCTGAAGCCTTTCTTTCTGAAAAAATATTGACTATAGCTGCTAAGCTTCAAGTGCTACTTCAACAAAATTTAAGTTACTAACAAATTACTTTCATATCTTTTTTTTTTCATGTATGTGCATGTAAATTTAAAAAATAATTAATTTTGTTGATAATGTCAATAAGAGCGCAAGTAATTGAAAAATAAATAGGATAGTGAGAGGTTCATATTAGAGAGTACAGCACAATGACAGGCATTTCAGTAAAATACATTAATTTTAAATTGTGAAATCACTGATTTTCATGGGGGTTTAATTTCATATCCTCCATGAAGTGTTAACATCACAATATATAATAAATAAACAACTAATCTTCAATCATGAAATAAAATCCCCAAGAAACAATATTTTTTGTCCTCAAACCATGAAAATTTGGCCCCACAAAAATAAGTCATTTTACAGTAGTATTTATTACGTATTTTTTTTTACCATAAAACCATCCATTGATTGAAGTATGAACATTAACGTACTCAGATTGTCAGGTTTTAAAGGAGTTGAGTAATTGAAAATGCTCGCAAAAATGTCCATGAATTCACAAAGTAGAGTGTTTATACCCATTCTTCAGAGTTCGTCATTAATTAATAGACTAAGTAATCATATTATATACTAGGTAAAATTATCAAATCTCAGTATATTTAAATTTAACTGAAATGTTACATATTTAGAGGCCTGATGTTTGGTTATCAAAGTAATAAATAAAAAAAAAATGAATATTCCAAAAATGATATGTAATAATTCCACAAGACTTTGCTGTGAATTTTTTTTTAAGACAAATTATGGAAAGAATGTTGACCCACATTAAACATGCAAAGCAGGCATGTATATAGACATAAAAAACTGCAGCAATTTAGTTTGAAGACAGCAACAATGAAAAGGTAAAGAAATTTTCAATAGAAACCTGAGCAACAGAACTAAGTCCCTTTTCCTGCCTTGCTATGATCCCAGTCTTTGTTTGCTTTTAAGTGCATTATTTATGAGAATTTACTGAGAAACCAAATAGTGAACAGAATACCTTTGTAATTTATGGGTTTTTTCTTATTAGAAAACTCTGAGCAAAGGAAAGGTTTTTCTTTCTGTTAGGTGTCTTTTGATGCACCGTGCAAGGTCAAGGATTAGCTTATGGTTTTTACTATTGAGTTCCAAAGTTGATCAGCAACAGTGTTTAACAAAATTACGTCTATTTCTATAATGATGTTTGGATCACAGTATGAGTTCCTTTGAATATAAATTTTTGTCTAAATCGGAATAGCTATCAAGTAACTGTCAGTATATTATCTCAATGTTTTTGTTTTATTTCAGATGAGCAGACAAAGGAACATTTTTAATCACTGAAGTTCTGGTATTAAGACCCTTTACTGTGACCCAAGGGACTCAGATTCAGATCAAGATGAAGTTGGAGAATTTTCTTGATGATGACGATGAAGAAGCACAGGTGTCACAAGTTGAACAGAAATATATTTTACGTAAACCAATCAGACCTTATATATGCTCTACTCCAGAGGACTTTAATGAAGAGAAAGATTTCCTCTTCAGGGAGGTGTTTCCCAAAATTCATGAACTGTGCAAGTTACGAGGGGGTAACTTCTTGCCATATGATGTACGATGGAATCCCAATGGCGAAGAAGCAGCATCCGGGAATTTGTTGAAGTTAAATTTAGATTATATAAGTAAGAGTTCTCCTTTCTTTATCTGCCTGCTTGGAGAGAGTTATGGGCCCTACAGGCAAGTGGAGAGACCACCCCTTCCTAAAAAAATCATAAATGTCGAAGACCTTGATGAAATGGATTGGATGGATAAAAACTATCTAATGGCCGCCTCAGCCGGATACACATGGGTGCTACAAGAAAGCCATCAGAACACTAGTTTTACAGAGTTAGAGATAATTCAGGCTGCATTTCTCTGCGACAACAGATACTGCCATTTCTACTACAGACAACCTGAACATTTAGATGTTAAATTCGGACATTTGTCAGAGGAAAAGAGAACTAAACTCAGCAAGATACATTTACCTGAAAATGAATATGCTGATCTCAATATAAGGGATTTGAAGCAGAGAATAGTGAAGAAGGCTCTGCCTGTGAAATATTTTAGGACTAATGAAGAACTTGGTAGACATGTGATAAAGGATTGGACAGCTGTTATAGATGGGGTGTATCCTGCCCTAGAGCACCCACTCTCCTCCTTTGGTAAGTAAGGCTTTCATATTTTCTGAGAAATTTATTAATTATATATATGTATTATGTATAGTAATTGAGCAACACCCACCTCCCTCCCCCCCCCCCCCCCCAGAAAAAAATTAATTGATAATTAATCAAGGCTTAAATAAAGTTAAACTTATAAGCATAAATAATGCTTAAATGATATATATCAATAAAAATTGAGTCAAAGTCAGAAAGCATTGCAACAAATGACATTTTGAATGGTTAAATTAAGACAAAGAAAATGAAAACCATTTCATTACTATCAATTGCAATATAATTTTTAAGGATTTGATAAATTCTTATTTGAATAATGATATTTCCTAAGTTTTGTAAATTTTGAAATTTTGACTGAAAAAAAAATATCTGTAGAAGCAAAACTGAAAAATGTTGAACTTCAAGTTCATCATCTTTAAACCTTTTATGCATGCATAAATATGATATTTCAAACTCAAGAGTACTTCAATGTGTCAAATATTTCAGGACCATAATAATCCATGAGATAAACCATGTAAATTTTTGAAGTTTTATATTGCCTATATCAGAGATATCTGTCAACATGTTCGCACCCCCAGATACCATTTATGATTCGAGATAAACTACCTACTTAGCGTTATATGATTTACGGGCCCTCTCAGGCCTATATCATTCAATGCAAGTATTTTATGGATCTGTTATGTATATAACAACTCGAGTGCTTTGATAATGGCTTTAAGGGATTACAGTATATTGAAGAAAATCGGTCTGATCTCTGTACTTTACTGTTTTTAAATGATTTTCCTGATCCCGTTAATATCAAAGCAGTTTTGCAATATATGTCTACTGGCCATGTAACCTAATATAACTTTAAAGTACAATGATTTATATAAGCCATTGTAGGGTTGCTGAAGCATTATGAAATCCTTTGAGAATTAAAAGAAAAATCTTAGGAAATTGGTTTCTTTGAAGATATTTTATGTTGAGATTTGACACAAGAGAAAAGTGATTGCCTTTTGAAAGCTCCTGGGGGCTGATTTTGTAACGAAAGGTTTGCATGTCAAAACAATTGAAACGTTTTCAGTAATTTAAAGCCTTATGTTAAGGACTGTCTCTTGAAACTGCTGGAATATTACAAATAAGTTCTCATATCTGAATTTTACATTGATATACAATAAAACATTTTAACATTTTATATAGAACTGAAAATTTTTAGCAAAATAATCCAGTCCCCCGACTTCACAAATTGAACGAAATACAGTAAAGCATGCTTATAACTGAAGTTCCAGAGACAGATGATTTTGCTTCATTATAAACATAATTTGCTATATCCATTTACACATGTAGTTTACAATATATATATATTTTAAAGCCTTTGGGAATGAAAATCACTTTGCTGTAAGCATCAATTCATTATATTTTAAATGGGTTTTTGATAAGTGTGTTTAATACTGTATGTATGTTTATATACATGTAATACATATGTATTAAAATGGATGACCAGAATAATATTTTCAGTGCATTCTTTTTTTTTTTAGTATTCCCTCATGTCAACAAACAACAAATGTATGCAAGGAAATTTGCCATAGGTTTATTTTTGCAACTTTCACCCAAATTGTCAGTGGGAAAATCCAAAAGGGGTTGAATTTCACAGACACAGCATTATCTCCCTTCTAACACAACTCTGTCTGGATAAATTTGAAATGAGGAAAAATTGTTTGTATGTGCAATATGTTACTTGAGCGAAAATAATGCCTCTGAATTTTTACTGCAATGAATCTTCCAGAATCAGAGGAATACACTGAGTGGGTAGCCAATGAAGTGTTTGCTGAGAGCAGACGACAGGTTTTTGTGACATCTGTTGAGCTCAATGGACTGAAGGAGAAGATGACATCATTTGCACTCGAGGTTCTAGATGAGAATGTTTATGAAATAGAAGAAAAAATGATAGAGAGACCATATTCAATTCTAAATTTGTTGAAAAAGAAGTAAGTATCGCACACCTCTCATATTAAATCTACGTATATATAAATAATATACTTTATGTATAATATGCTTGTAATTCCTATATTATTTGATACAGTTAGACTTCAGGTGTTTGGTTTTTTTTAAAGTCAGTGTTGCAGAACTCTGAGTATTTGAGATATTGAGGTGAAAAATATATAGAGAAAAATGGGTTGGGACTTCAAACTCACTGAAATATCATTTATCTTTGAGGTATTGATACATGCGTGTATTTGAGATAGCAAGGTTTCACTGTATTTTATGTATTTCAGGGAGGCAGTTGTAGCACGTTATAAATCAATCATGGTTGTCCATGGTGACAGAGGAAGTGGAAAGAGCACCCTGATTGGTAACTGGATCCAAAAATTCAAGGCTGAACACAATGATGTCAAGGTCATTTGTCAGTATGTGGGCTGCAGTGGAAGGTCAGCAGACATTTCAGTCTTTCTCAGACACTGTATAAAGGAACTCAGAGAAGAATACCTCAGGCCAGGTATCTGCTTTTGGCAGATCTGATGTTTGTTTAAATCAGCTTTGTTCTTGTATATTGGATAAATTCTTTAAAAGTCGTAATTTAAAAGAAAAATTGACATTAATCTAGAGCATGTAATTTATTATCATATGTGAATTCATTTTTTTGGCAAATGCATGAAAAAGCACAGCATATACGGAGTGCAAAGTGTAAAATATATATTCCACTTAAAGTTCTACAGTACAGTACTACAGTAATTACAGTCTCCCATATACATGTATTTCATAATACTTGGTATTTTGAAACTCCTTTATATACATATATACGGTAATACCATCTGTAGCTTTTAATATGAAAAACCTTACAATGTATATATTTTCAGAATATATTTTCCATTACAACTACTTGGTACAATTGATTGAATAAAATTCAAAGAAAGTAATATTTGGTGGTATCTCATTTCAGTGGAGTGTTCCTCAGAGAGTGGATTAACTGAGGAGGACCAGCCATGGACATTCCAGGAAGTGTGTCAGGCATTTGTGGCTGCTCTCTCATTGGGTCCTGCTGTCATTATCATTGATGGTTTGGATGAGATTGGCAACACACTGGGACTCACTATTAGACAGGTTAGTTTGTAACACTACATTGTAGTAGCAAGTAAAATTTAAATCTAAAAATGACTTATGGTGAATAAGGACCATGAGTACTTCTGGTACTTTGATTCTTTTCTATTCATTAAAAAAAACTGGAAAGCTTTTAAAGAATTCATTTTTCATTTTTTTTTTTTTTGTTGTTGAAAAATTACTACATTATTTATCGGTGCTTATACTTAACAATTGAAATTCCATTCAATATTTATAAAACAATTGTGTTTCTTAGGTCAAAGAATTGAAGTGGCTGCCTTTTCCTTTACCTACACAATGCAGAATTATCTTCACAACTTGTCGCTCAGATCTGACTTACCATTCCTTGTCATCAAGGAAAGACACAATCCTACACACTGTTCCATCATTTCATTCTTCCAAAATCCAGACAGCATTTTTGGAAGAAGCTATGCTGCAACATTTTGACCACTTGAATGAGGAGAACCTCCTCCAAGTTCATGACATGAAGCTCTCTAACAAGCCCCTCTTTCTCTCTCTCTTGGCTGGGGAGATGTGCTGTTTCAGTGTGTACACTGGACTTTTTGAATACCTGGAAGAAATAGGGGAGAAGATATCCTCCCTGAGAGACTACTGTCTTCGCTGCTTCCAGAGGTGGTCACGTGAGATGAGTTGGACGAAAGAGAATCTCTATGGAGAACTGGATGATGAAGATCTTCTAGGTAAGAGAGATGATTGAATGAAAAAAGTAGAGAAGCTGGAAGTGGCACTTCATATAAATTCTTTAAAATGATGGCATTTTATATAATAAAATATAGGGAAAAACTGACATTATTTTCTAAAATTGTGCATGAGTTAACAATGTCTACATTTACCACTTTTGTAATAAAAAAAAAAATTCAATGACTCTCCTGCCTAAAGGCATGCTATGTTCATTATCTAGCATTAAGTGCAGTAACTGGCCTTTAGATATAAACATAAACTTCTTTTAATTTCCTTAAATGTGCTTGCAGAACTTGAGGGGTGGATTCCAGACACCTTGCGTTTGCTAGCTGTGTCCAGGACGGGTCTTTCTCAGGTTGACATTTTTACATTATTGAGGGGACTAGGCTACAGAAATTCCAAAGAAGTCAGGAACTTCCAATGGCTTCAGTTCTGTACATGCTTCAGAGAATGGGTGTATGAGCTCCCAAATGGACAAATACAATTTGCTCACCAACATTTGAAAGAAATTGTGGAGTATGTTTTGCTTCGTAAGTATCAATGTTTTAACATACCCATTTAGTTCTTGTCTGAAGAATTTAATTGCTAGAAGAGTTAGGTTCCTGAAAAGAAAAACATGACTAGTTTAGTTTTATATTTCATTTTAGATTTTGTTCCAGTATTAATATTGAATGATTTTGATCATAGTGTAAAGAGATTGGTAGGTCTTGTTCAATGACATTTTTACCCTAATTCCTGCGTTGTATTCATGACCATGCTTATTTGCATGGAGCAACACCCTCCTTGAAATGGCAGAGATTTCTTATTGCATGGGATATTTTTGTTAAACTGAAATTATGGGATGTCACTGTTGTCAATTTAATGATAATGATTAAAAATATATACTAAGTGGAAAATATTACCTGCATACTAATTGCATGAATGATGTATTATATATCCTGTACATAATAAGTGCATGCATGACTGTTTAATATTAGTCAAATTAATCTTGTCTTAAATGTATTCTAGCTAAAAAGGAACCCCTGCAAACTCTCAATGGTTTTATACTTAAAATTAAACTTGAATTCTAATTTTAATTAACAACATTTAAAATTACAAGGTAAAATGTTGAAAAATGTTTAACTGTGTTTGTAATAGTAATACATGTTCTAGAATAAAAGAACTTCAGATCAAATGAAATCGTTACAGTTTATAATGCTAATATATACGTTAGTTTTATTTTTAATGAAAAAAGTAATAATAATTGTTATGTAGCTTAATATACATTTGCTTTTGCATGTTCAAATTGTTTGGCATATCATTTATCTATTTCTGAATTTATAAAAGTTACATATAATGTACCTGTGCCCTTAATTTTAAATAAGCAGTAACACATATTTCTTATTTTTTGACAATGAAATATTATTTTAGGAGGTGCAACAAAAAAGGATGTTAGTCCGCGCCGTAAAACGGCCAATATAAGTAGGTTTGACCTTTTGAACTTACCTTATTATTGTGTGTTTTGATTAATACCTTTCTAATGCAAGGCTAATTATTAACTGTTCATTTTGCAGAAATTTAAAAATCCTTGATCCACCCCTGCATTCCTGAAATTACCTATCACACGTTTTTCCCTCTTGAAAAAAGCAAATAAAATCAATATGGTCTGCACTTTGTATATTCCCAGGGTTTCTTTTGTGGTTACCCATTGGTGCATTTGTATACTTGCATATGAAATATTAGATAGATTATATTTGATGGACCATCAAAATTGAACTAATATTTCCATTTAAAAAAAGAAAAACAGAAAAAAACGTTAATTATTGTTGATCAACCTTTTGCCTCGAAGCTGTCTTAATGGATGTTTACTTACGTCATGATGTATGGAATAAAAAATATGCAATTCACAATAATTTATTACATGCTTTTAGATTTCATTTATCTAAATTATGATTGATGTTTGCATATAACAAAAATTAAAATTTCAGTTTTTTAATGCTTGAAAAATTTTTAATTACTTTGATTTTCACCAAATTAGATATAGAATTGGCTGTACATTTTTTTTTTAAATTTCGCTTCATTTAAGTTAACATTTGTGAGTTTTATATGTTGATGCTTTTAATATGTTTAATGAGTATTTAGTTTTTACGCTGTTACAAAAAGTAAAATTTGATTTGCAAACTTTTTTTTATGGCTCACAAGCAATATCCACTCACAAACAATATCCACTGACTCTTATTTCACAGGACAAGTTTAGACACTACTTGTCACACTGAAAAGCTCTCTTTATTCTTATCACACATGAATTTTACAGCTTTACTTAATTTGTACATGAAGCAATTCAACAAATGATCACAGTTTATTTAGATCTAAGATGGTCTAATATGGTAAGATTATCTGTGTATTTCAGAAAAAATGTGATTCTTGAAAGAAAAAATGAATTTGCAATTGATACTATAAAAATTTTGATGGTTTCAAGTAAAATCTAAGAAACAGATCTTAAATGAATGTGGTATATTTCATTCTCAAAATTTATACTTGTAGCCAACAATGTTAAGTCACATATATTTTAGCAAGGTTTTTTATGCAAAGCATGAGAAATATATATTTTACTGTTCCATACCTTAAAGATTCCCTAAAAGCAGGCAGTGGTGGGGTAGAAGTTGCATCCACTGGTGAATGTGAAAAAGAGTGGAAAGGTCAAAAGAACAGGTTCCACAATCAGCTTGCAAAGTACTTCCTCAAACAGCCATTCAACCAAAGGGTCTTGGAAGAGTTACCTTGGCAACTATTGATGTCTGGAGACATGGATACTCTGCTTCAAGTTTTAAATGATCCACTGTGAGTGAAAATATGAATAAGAGAAATTAAATCCTAATGATCCCATTTGAATATGACGAAGAAAATATGAAGCATTAAGTCTTACCAATAGTGTTTTCTGTGTTGAAATTTGATTAAGCATAGAAATTGGAATGCTCAATACCTTGCAGCATGTACATGTATTTAACTGTTATGCTCTTGTAATGTAAGGTCTTTTAGATATGATTAATTGTCCCTGAACATCGTTTACGTTACACATGTACGTTTTTTTTAAATTCATGAGTCCATTGACTTTTTATTTGCTTAACATAAAACAAATGAACTCTTCTGGTACATGTTGATACCATATCAGTGGAAATTTTATTGAAATACAATTTTAGCGATTTGTCCTTAAAAATCAATATTTAATTTTAGCGAGAAGTATATTTAGTGATTTTATGGTGCATAGAAAAATAACGGTAGCCTCTAATACTGAATGAATTATTAGCAATATTTAATTTTAGCAATCTTACCGTCCTTGCTAAAAATTCCAAATTTAATCCGCTCTAAAGTTTCTGCATAAACGGTACTTTCAGTTGTTGTTTTATATTTCAATTTTTAAATTTACAGGATGATAGAAGGTTTTCTGGATGAGAGGAGACAGAACCCCTCAAACAAACTGGACCTGGCCTTTTTCTGGTCTCTGATAAAGGAGGATGGAAAAGATGTGTGTACAATGTACCAGAAACTTCTGATGAGACTGGGAATCATGGAAGAAGAGAGAGAGGAGATCATGCATGACCAGGTAAGATGTGTGTACAATGAAGCAGAAACTTAGGATGAGACTGGGAATTTTGGAGAAGGAGATCTAGAGACAGGAGATCATGCATGACCAGGTAAGATGTGTGTACAATGTACCAGAAACTTCTGATGGAATGAAGGAACATGGAAAAAATATAAAATGGGAATGAAAATAAAAGTCGGAATCCACAGTGAAACGGGTTGTGCAGGTGTCGGATTAGACAGTTTTCACTGTACATTTGAAAAAAAAAAACTGCTAGAAGAGCATATTCATCATTATGATGGTTTAAACAATGAAATCTGATGAACAGGATCAATAAGAAAAGCAGTTTGAATCTCACTTATTTAGTTTTCTCTTACAAATACTTTCTTTTATATTCAAACTATTCTGTAAACCAATTTTTATTTGCAACATCCTTTATTCTGGATTCATATCAGCTAGTTTTTTTTTACATTAATACACAATTAACTGAATGGTTCCCTGCTAGAAATATTGGTGAGTTATTAAAGAAGTTAATTTGTAAAACTTTTGGATATATCTCGCAAGAGAATGAAAGTTTGTTTACAGCATATTATGAAGTTCTGAAACCTTTTTAGAATGCAGAGGATCTTGAATTGGACAGTGTAACAAGTGAAATTTCATCACACGAGGATGAGACAGCCTCCTCCTCCAGGGAGAACCTCAACATGACTGTCCCTAGGATAGTGACCTACCCTCCCACGAGGGAGCTGTCAGCAGTGACAGAGGAGTCCATCACTAGCAGTCTGGGGGTCAGGACCCCTCACCATCACAGGCTGGAGGAAACGGTGTATGAAGATCCCAATGATGAACAGAAGGTTAATATCAGAAATATCGAATATCGAAAATATATAATTTTTCCCAAGAATTTGTCATTTTAAGTATTGCTAATCAAAGAAATTTCCTCACCAAAAATTGAGGTACCTTACCAGGCATTGGGACAAGATACCAGAGGGTGATATTTCGTATATAATCCTTATGGGTAATCTTTTGAATTGCCAATGTAAGAATTTTGGTGTACTTGTTTTTTTTAAACTTATCGAAAACAATTTAGAAATCACAAGAGAATGTCAATTTTGAATAATTTTTGGTATAATACCAAGATATACAAAACATATATTTCAGGAACATGTCGTCTGACCTTAAATCTCTGAAAAGATTAAATTGGTTATAACACTTTTAAAGGTCATGTTTCTTTATTTCCTTCCTTTTATGAAATATTTATGTGAACTTAGCCTCTCTCTGTCTCTCTCTCAAATTCATATGAAAGGGCATTCAATTTTTAGAAGAAAGACTATTTAGAAGTAAAAGAATGTGGTGGTAAAGCTGTGTTCATTAGGTATAAAGCAATAACGTACAATGTATCTCGTATGTTTCGATCATTATTATTCTTCTGTTCAGGAAAGTGGAAGAACTAAACCAGTGGATAAGAATGGTGCTGTATTTTTGACTGAAACTAAAGCTGAAACTCCAGGTAAAAATTAAATGTTCTTTGGAGAAAATTAAGAATGTCATGATTATCTTTAATATTGATTGATATTTTTGTTATCAGTAACTTTGCTATTTATTGAATTCATCTTTTGTGAATGAGATTTTGACATTAAGTTCTTTAATTCCTCCTTTTCTCTAGGTGCAGATTCTCCATTATTATACCAAACTCATGAAATTTGCAACACAATTAAGATTGCCTGGCTTATCGCGAATTTCCTCAAAGATCTGGGTCATGTAGATGTAACAGAGAAAATACTGACAGCATTAAACAAAAAACTTGTAAAGGTACATAGTAAATTTTGACACTGATGTATGGAATTCTCTGTTTTTGAAATTTTTAATTTCAAAAGAAATTTTAAGTTTATTAATTGAAACAAAAAGAAACTTGTTTTGCATTAACATTTGTCATGTATTACACTTAATTTTGTGAACTTTTACTGTAAGACTCTAAGAAGCAATATTCATTATCAGTTACTCATATGGAGCTATTTTTTAATCTGAATTTTGAAAAATCTTACCGATATAAATTACATAAAAATTAGTTTTGTAACCCCCCCCCCTTTTTTTTTTTTTTGAAAAGTAGATTGAAATAGAATAAGTTAAAAATTGTTTTTAGTTTGAAAATTTACATTTTTCAAATGTATCCCACATAAAAAATCATTGACAATGATTTTATTACTACTAATGACATTTTTAATTGAAAAAAGTTAAATCTTTAAATGTTACAGTGCTTTAACACTTGACAAATATAAGAAGTAATAGTGATTATACCAAAATTGAATTTCAGATGTATGGAGTAAGCATTTTGTGTTATATAAGTGTTATTCGGGTTTGTCCTGCATTGCATGAACATACCTAATTTGTACACTCAGATTTGTCCCCATTATCGCTTGATATTTTTATACAGAATATGCTTTTGCTTAAAGATTAGTTTACATGTACATGTAGTTATATGCATCACAGCAAAAGAACATTCAAGCAAAGTTAGGTTTTGGTACTGGGAAAGAATACACACCTGTTTACAGCACTTGAAAAGTATGAATTTATACAACACTACATTTTTTTTTTTGGACTCTGAATGTCTATGGAAGGGAATTACCGCCAAAAGTCTATTTATCTTGCTTTTATTCTTATTCTGCCTACTTCTTTATTCTTTGTTATTATTGTAACTATATGTCACTTTATTGTTTTCATATTCGTCTTTATTACATTTCACTTTGATCTTCATTTTGTCCTTACTTCTATGTTGCTTCATTCTTGTAAATTCGTTCTTCTTTCTTTTAAATCCATACAGTTTCTTTAATAAATAATTATGATCATCTCTATTACAAATGTAAATTCAGTCACGCAAACCATGAAGCACATTCAACGAAGACGAATACAAGTAGTGTGAATTTAATGCGGCATTATAACGCTAGGTGGCAGGGTGTTCGCTGCGAGTGTTGATAAAATTAGGTACGCAAACCCGGGTTGAGGTTAATCGAGATTTTTCAATTTTCTGCCTTAATACTTTATCAATCGAACCCAAATTTTCAAGTTATGTTAGTTATAGGTTTATTTGTATACGCGGTAAAATTGCCCCGAATGCTCAATATTTTAGATTTTCTCGAAGAAAATTATTTGATTTCCAAGTTTTTGGAAGGCAGTATCAAGCTGAAGTGGGTTTTTTTTGTTGACAAAAAGCTAATAAATTTGTAAATTATTCTGATGCTAAACATTATATTTTACCTATTTATAAGCATTTCTTCTTTCAAATTTAATGTGCTTTTGTTGCTTTAAATAACACGTTTTAAGAAAATCTGGGTCATTAAAACCCGGAACAATGATGAAAAACTTCAAAATAATTGTGTATTTTCTGTTACCTGAAAAAAATAAGTAACTCTATTCAAGTTATTTGTTGGATGATTGAATTTCAGTTTTATTGATATAAAAAAAATATTAAATATTTTGATAATTACTAGTATACCCTTATAAATTGAGTTGTTTTTCAGGACCCTATATATTCTTCCACTGAACTGACATTTCTTTATTTCAGGATAATAACTGTTCATGCGCAGTCGCTTGATACTGGGGACTGCGGAGCTAGTCTGGTTTCGGCCAACCCAAAATGCTTTGCAAAGTAGTGCGGAACGTCATGGGTAGGCGTTGCCGGAATCAGGCTAGACAGGGGCATACTAGAAATTTCCCCCGGTTTTTATGAAAATATGTATTAATTTTTTGTTTAGAAATAGCACTTTTCGATAAAGAAATAAATATCTCTAGTAAGCACACAATGTTTGACATGAGAATAACTCAAAAAATTATTTTGTCAATGTCTCGTTTGGCAAAAAATACGTAAAATGTCGGCTTGATATTGCCTACCCATCTTAGCAAATTGGAAATCAAAAATCGTCAAAGATATCTAAAATATTGAGATTTTCAAAATATAAATACATGAATATAAATATTGGCAATTTTTACAGCGAATACAGATAAAACTTAGAGACGTAGCATTGCTTTTGAAAGGGGCAGCCAGAGAAAAAAAACAACTTAACTAAAAATCATGACAAGCAAAAAAAAAAAAAAACAAAACAAAACAAAACAAACAAACAAACCAAAAACAAAAAAAAAAAAAGAAATATTCTTCAAACTCGAAAATTCTATTTGGGGGGAGGGGGGTCCAACTTCTTTCAGTACCAAATTTTACTCATACGTCACTACGTACATGGCCCTTATTTGACTAAACTACAACAAAAAGTAGGAGGGGGTCAACCAGACTTTCATTGAACATTTTCAGTAGTAAAAAATTATGGCTAGAAAAATGTTTGGTGGCCAGCTCCCCCCCCCCCCCCCCCCCAATGCTACCGGTGTCATATAGTGAGACTTACCCCATAGTGAGTATTCCCCCTGGAAGTCTGGCTATATAGTGAGACTTCCCTTCCGGGGGGGGGGGGGGGGGCAATGACTATATAGTGAGCTTCCCGCCCTAAACGACCATAGTGGGACTTCCTCTTCCGTGTTTGGTCAGTTTCGATTTTATTTACATCGACGATGTATATATTGCATATTTAGGTAATGATCTTATATATATATAAAAGATGAATAGTTTCAATTGAATCAATATAAAAGTGCGCATTAAAATTTTTTCGTGCACAGCAGATTATAGTATTGTTCCGAGACGATTCTTATCAAAAGAAAAAAAGACATAATTAGTTTAACAGTAAAGAGGTCATTACCCGTAGAAACGTGCAGTTTACCTGCATGGTTAAAAAGTTTTAATTATAAAAATCACTATTAAAATGTTTTAATCATTTATTCATATATTTATTTATTTATTCATATAGGACGGATAACTTTTATCCAAACACTGAAAACGTTAGTATAAAAACATTGTTTTACAATGGAAAAAAATATTCGGAAACTAAATTAAAGGGGGGAGTTTCGCTATGAAGGGGGAAGACTGACTATATAGTGAAACTTTCCCCTGGAGAAGTCTCACTATATAGCTAGTCTTCCGAGGGAAGTCTTGCCATCTAGGCAGCCTTCAGGAGGAACGACACCGGGTACATGTCTGAACCTATAACATATATATTTGGAAATTTGGGTTCGATTGATAAAGTATTAAGGCAGAAAATTGAAAAATCTCGAATAACCTCGGCCCGGGTTTGCGTACCTCATTTTACCAACACTCGCAGCGAACACCCTGCCACCTAGCGTTATAATGCCGCATTAAATTCACACTACTTGTATTCGTCTTCGTTGAATGCGCTTCATGGTTTGATTTGTGTGACTGAATTTACATTTGTAATAGAGATGATCATAATTATTTATTAAAGAAACTGTATCAATTTCAAAGAAAGAAGAACGAATTTACAAGAATGAAGCAACATAGAAGTAAGGACAAAATGAAGAATGAAAAAAGTTCAAAGTGAAATGTAATAAAGACGAATATGAAAACAATAAAGTGACATATAGTTACAATAATAACAAAGAATTAAGAAGTAGGCAGAATAAGAATAAAAGCAAGATAAATAGACTTTTGGCGGTAATTCCCTTCCATAAATGTCAACATATCATCATTAATTGATATATAATTGCATTAATGATTCAAAATGTTTGTTATTTATTTTATAACTGTTACATTGAAGTAGTAATCAAACATTATATGTACCTAAATGGAAATTTTGAAGACAAGCTCTAGAAGTTTTTGAAATTAAATTATGGTAATATCAATGGGCCAAATTTTCAAATATTAACATGCTCATTTTCTTCTGAAGTTGCAGACAATTTTCATGTTCCAATGTTACCCATTTGAAATGTATTTAAAGAAACATTCACCTTCTTCAATAACTTTTCTATGAAACAAATACTCCTTGCTACAGAGTTATCCACTGGAACATGAGGATATGTTGATACACGCTCGGGTTCAGGAATCTCTCGGAAAGTACTGTCAGCAGAGAGGGGATTTGGACCTTTCTGAAAAGTATTTTACGAAGTCCTTCCGAATTGTCACCGATCTGTCAGAACTTGATGAGGAATCAACTGTTAATTTCATGGAATTAGAGAATCTGAAAGGTAGAATATTGTTTTATATCATGAAAGATTTATTTTTTGAAAGAAACTGTGATAAAATTAAGCAGAAATTGTACATCTAATTGTAGATAAATTTTAAAACAAATGCTTGGAGGCCTTGATATAAAATTTATCTATAATTTCCCCCAAGGAATCACTTCTTCCTTCCAGTTTTCTTACTCCAGGTAACTTAGGCAATCTGAACGTTCTAAAAAACACATAATAACCAATTTAAGATAACTTCTACTACTTATTTGAAAATAACCGTATCTTGTCAAAATAAAAGTGTTGGTATCATTACTAAAGTTATAAAACTTTTACAAGTAAGACTGGCAACAATATTTGTGCAACTACGCGTAATTTTTCTCATTTAGGTAAAATTCTGTCACATTTGGGAAACCTTCGCATGAATGAAGGCTTAGTGGATAGTGCTGAAGACTTGTTAACAGAAGCTCGCGATGCTGTAGAAAATAGCGGAAATCTGAGCGCCAAAGCCACCATTTTGTACAACCTAGGACTTCTAAGGTAAGACATTTCTTGTAGACGTTTTTTTTAAGTTTTTTTTAAATTACTTATTTAATGGTAAAGTGATTATAACATTTGATGTGTAATTGTGAACGTTCGTTAAATTAGCCAAAGAACAATGATGAATGACGAAGCATACTAATATTTTCGTTGTGTATTAAAGATAAACCACTTGTTAAATTTATATTTTAAAGTAATTTCAACACAGAAACTTAAATGAACTTAAACGTACTTTTCTAAATTCCATTGTGTTAATGAGGTTTGGCATGATTTTTTAAAAAATGATTTGGTACCTTACAGAATGCAACAACAGGACTATATTATGGCAGAAACAAGTCTGCGACAAGCTTTGAATATCAGGGAGCAATGGTTTGGGAAATCTCACCCTCTTGTCGCAGACGTTCTTTATGCTCTGGCTGAAATCATGGGAAACCCCGACAATTATCGTGGGTAAGCTTGATAGTTGATAAATTATATACTAGTAAATATTTCATTGAAAATTCCGTTGTCCTGACAATGATGTCTTTATTTTGCAAAAGGGAATGAGAAATGTAAAAGTTTATGAAAGGTTAAAATTTTGCGCTGATTGATTTGAATCTACAAAAAGAGTAAAAATCTTTTATGAATGATTTTAAATGTAGGTTCGACAGAGTTCGTTCAGAGGGAGTGTACAGGAAAGTTCTTAAGATCAGAGAAGATTGCCTGGGAAAAGAACATCTGGCCGTTGCAGATATATTGTTCCAGCTAGGTAACTTACATTTTCGGCCATCATTTTACTTCCAAAACATCAATACATGTAATGAAATAAAATTTGAATGGGTCGTAAAAGTAAGCACATTTTGTAAAACTGTCGTAATTTTTATGCTAAATTAAGGTATTTTTATGTTTCATTGAACATAATTTTAATGTATTTGGAGGAAGTTGAATTAAATTATTGAATAAATTAAAGACGCATTGCTTTAAAATTCTCCATAAAAACAACATATATTTACATAAAAGCATATTCCTATTCCTTTAAATTTCTTCTCTTGCCAATACTTTTTACTATCTATTATTAGGAAAACTTTTACAAGATGAAATAAACTATGCTGCAAAATGTGAGGCTGTGCAGTTGTTGCGTAGAGCTCTTGATATTAGAACAACCAAGCTAGGTAAGTTCTTTGCTACATTTTGTGTGACCAGTAGTACTATGTCTTTTATGTTTTTTTTTTCAAATGAACACTACAAAAATTCATAACATTAAAAAACTGCACACTTTTTGCATGACAAACCTTTTAAAATTTACAAAAATTACACAGTGTTGAGTACATGTGAATCAGTTAAAATTTCTGGATGTTGATGTTTTGCGTTAAAATTTCAATTAAACATTCTGTATTAGGGTGATGAATTTAGAATATTAACACACATTCTCAATTGAACACTAAATAAGGGTAAAGTTTGTATTGCAGTACATCATACCAGTATTTTACAATGTCTGAAAGAATAGAAATGTGATGCTTCAGTGTTCCCCATCATAGATAAAGGAACTAATTCATCATGATATCTGATCATGATATTTTTATCATGTATAGGGTGATAAATCTTTTAATGGATATTATTGATTTGAGTGCTCCAATTTTTTCACTCTGGTTAAACTAACTGTTGAAGTGGCAAAAGGATTTTTTGTCAATCTGGTGTGATGCTGATGAATGCCAATACACAAAGATATGTTTTTAAAGTCTTTCTAAACAGAAGCTTGTGATTGATCATGTTTAAGTTGTCTCAATTTCTTGATAAATCTCTAGGGTAGAGATATTTAAATTGCCTCTGAAATCGAACTGAACCTTTAAGTCATTCTTGTTTAATTTCTTTTTTTCAAAGATAAAAGTGTTTGCAAAATCACTCTCTCAGATATGCAATTTTTGCTGAAAAAGATATAGATTTCCCAAGCGATCAATGGTAGAAAATCGGCAATGTTTTTTTTTTAGAATCTCATTTCTGAAAATCATACTTTTGGATAAGCAGATTTTGCTGTACTTTACTGCCATAAATCCGTCGATCAATATTGTGCGATGTTATCATTGTTTGAAATTCAAGAAGAAATTAAAGAAATGGATTTCATATGAATAATCATTTTTTGCATTTTTTGTATCAGACATGTAATACTTTTGCATGTTGGAGGGGTTATCAAAAAGTTTGTGGAATGGTACTATGTAGTCTGTGCTTACAAAATTTACAAGGAATATAGAACAACAAAAGTTTAAGAATGTTGAAAAGCTTGATACGTTGATAATTTGCCAAATTATTCTAAAATGAAAAAAGACATTATATGATCATCCGGCGCTGTCGCCGTTTAGTTTCATGACGTCCGACAACGTCATTGTTTCTCAATGTCCGCTCTCTCTACCTCATACACTTATCTTGTTGAGATTACCTGGAATTAAGCAAGGACTTAAGCCCGTTTTGTTTATATGACTTTATAGTGACACGAAAAGCTGCTTTCAATGCATATAATATTGTAAATGGACCTATACATAGGGAAATGTCCTCACTTGATTATGCCAGAATACCTAGCTTGTTGGAGTTCAACCACACATGATCAACGTTACTTTTCGAAGTGACTAACTTTTGACACCCTGACTACCAATCTACATTAACTGTGCATCTTTCATCTCTCCGAATCCTTTTGGGCATTTAAAAACAAGCACTCTTGATGCATTTTATTTTTCTGTAGCATGTTTAAACATCTATATAAGTTTTTCCTGGTGCGAAACTTTATAGAATGTTTGAAAAAGAAACCCCTTCCCCCTTTTGATGTTATTTTCAAGCCTTTCGTTGTTCGGTCACTCTATATAAACTTTAAGATAAAATTTCATAGAACTTACAGAATGTGGTAAAAAATGCAAATTTTACGTAACAATTGAGTTGTACCACATTCCTGAATTAACAGGATTTTTTTTAATGACAAATTCTCATATCAAAAGAGTTTTTTCTCATTTACACTCAGGTAGAAAAAAAAAACGTCATATGTGAGGTTGCGCCGCCTAGACATACTGTTACTTACAAAAACATTAACAATTTAATAAAATAATAAAACTTATGATTTATGGTTTATTCTATTGATAGAAAAGATGATGTTAACTAAATATGTTAAAATTCACTGATGTACTTAAAGCGGTTTTAATTTTGTGGCGCTAGTCCACGAATTTTTTTTATAACCCCTCTTATATAGAGAATAATTGTTATGATTTCAAAGCCAGAATAAAGTAATTTGAGTTCCTATTTCAGATAGGATTCATCTATCTGATCAAAGGTTCATTTTTTTCCCATAACTCACCTGCAATGTTCATATGCAGATAACAGAGTGCATACTTCTTATGTGTCATTGGTTAAAGCTGTTCTTTTAATACAACAATAATATTTTGATGATAGATATCCTTTACTTTGTCGATATTGTATTTTTCAATACAAAAAGGCTTGTTACGATTAAATGTAGCCTTATTCAACATAACTGTTTTTGGAATAACAATAACCGATGACCAAGATCACTTCAACAAAATGATTAGGAAAAAAATAATAAATATAGATTTTTACTTTTACGCTGGTGTTTTCAATTTTGTAAATTCTTTTGGTTTAGAATCGGAATTAATATACATGATATACTGTATCTATTCACGACAATATTTTGAAACTATTGTATTTTATTTTAGAAATTAAAATAACCTGTAAAAAATATTTTTTTTAATAAAAACAAGAAGATTTTTGTTTCAGTTTCATAGCTTTGTTCGTTCTGTTGCTTCGAATTTCGATAACCATTTAGATTGTTAACTCGAATGAGGTAGATCTGGAAATCGATACGTCAAAATATAATGGAAATGATGCTATTTCTCTTGGAGCGCAAATATTATCAGTATGGCTCATTAATAAGAAATTAAGTTTGAGTTTCTATTATACCACCACTGATTTCGCCATTTTAAAATGGATAATGAACAAAAGGGAAATTGATAAAAGCCTGCCATATTGGGCTTATTATCAATATTTATTGGACCTATCCATAAATTTCCTAAACAAAGCGACAATACAGAGAAAGGGATTTAAATGTAGTCCCATATCACATTGATTTCTCCCGAGTACCAGGGATGGCGTGAAATGCCTCTTCATTGTCCTGTCGTGAGAGTGTATATTTTTAAAGTTCGGGTCGTGTACCAATGCTCATTTATTCATGTGGTTGTAGGAAAAGATTCCAAGTAGTTTATGACAGGTGCTTGTTATTCGTTATAGTAACGAAATCCCTCATTTTCATTGGATTACGGTTCCAAGGTTAATATTCATTTAAGAAAGTGCTAAAAAGTATTTTAGAGTCCGATTGGATTATATTCGGCAGTTTTGGCTCTGGAAGGAAGACCTTGTGGATACAACACCCTTAAAAACTAGATTAATCTTTAGTCGTAAGGTTGAGTCAACGTTTGGCTAAACAAAATTTTACGGAAACCCTCCAACACTTCTGTTGCTCGAGACTGGTGACCTGCGGGAAAGAATTAACCATATAGTGACCGAGCTAGGATAATGCCGTGATTGCCAATGCATGTCTAGGTTTTAAGGGATAATCTTCTAGTCTGACATCATAAACTGTACGATTTGTTAGCAAATATTTATGCGATCAAATACTTGTATCGCTTGAAGTAATTCAACAACAGAATATATCGTTGAATTTGTTTTATTTGGGACTTACGCAAAGAGTGACAGGAAAAAATGACTTTGAAGCGAGTTCGAATCGCAGAGCCTGGGCAATATATCACAACAGGCATTAGACCTGATGTTGAAATTACAAATGAGGATAAACATGAGAAAAATATTGAAAAAAATATTGAAAAACCTGTGTCATGTTTGAAGATATCTAAAAGTACTGTCAACGAACGGAAAAAGGTTAATATTTTCGGTATGTAAACTTACGAAAAGTCATCATTTTTAGTTTCTTATATATTATTTTGTAAATAGTTTTTATTATTGGGTGCATTTTATGGTTTCATGTGCAGCGGTGTTCTATTTCAAATATATATGGAGACCCACACGAGCGCACAATCAGATAAAAGCCTTATCTTGCAGACAGTATTTAGTATTGATGCGATAATTTTTGTGATTGATATCAATTTTTAAAAGTCGCGTCAGAAGAGAAACAGGAAAAAAGAAACTTCAACCGATAAATACAGATAAAAATATGGTTTTGTTATACCTATTTTTTTCATTTATGAAATATTCTCATATACTCTGTAATCTGTATGTGTATTTTTTTTAGATAATATTTTGTTAAGAAAAATGATAATCAAATGAAATTTTACTACCAAAACGTAAAACATGCACACTTTCTAATTCTTTTATTTTCTGAAGTGTATGAAGGTACATTTAATGGTTGTATGATGGGAAAAAAAAGCCCATTGGTTAAAAATTCATGTCTAAGAAAGAGGGAAAAACTCTTGTACAATACGAAATAAATGTACCAATTATCATCGTTATAAATAGAGTGCAACTTGATCTTGTTTTAGAATTGGGTTCAATTTTTAGCAATTACTGTATGTACGGTAAAGTGCCTAGGAAAGTCTCAACGTTTGGTCTGCAGAAGTCTGCGTGTGGTAAAAATGTTATCATTTGTATATTCAATTTAAACGGTTGTCTTGCATAATATCGATGACTCTTTAGAAATGATTTATGGATAGTGGAAATATATTAAGTCACTAATACATGCAGATTTTGAAGAGGTTTTCAAGAGTGCAGAAATTTACACGTATAGATATAGAATATTGATACATGTATGTACTAGTACTCCTTTTTTGTGCATTGGAAGAGGGATTGGTTGGTATATTTTAAAATTTAATTGAATGATGCAAAGTCTATATTAATTTTTTTTTTGGGGGGGGTAAAAAAATATTTTATGGAGTTCATGTATAAAATTACTTGGAATATTTGTTGAATTGAATAATTCGTTTTTTTCTTCGCTTACGTATTAAATAAAGAGTTCGCTCCTTTTGGACATTTTATATATAAAAAGTGTTTGAAGAATTTATGATTATTTACTAGCATTTCTGAGATTTAACATGTGCCTACAAGAAAGTTCACGAGTTCAATTTCGAGCACCATGTAATGCATGATATTTACAAATTAAAATCCAAACACCTCCTAAAACCAACTGTAGAAAGTGTACACGGGTCCTATTCATTTTAAGTCGGGGAAAAGGTAGTTAAACACTATCGCCAAGCAGTGTAAATTGTCCATTAGAAAGGTGTGAGGCGCTACTGACCAGTTTGTCAAGGTTTTATGTCTACCTACTGTATTTAAATATAGTCATAAAAGAGAAGTAGTGTTTACTTTTTTGAATGTCCAATCTCTGTCAGAGGTTTGATGGATTTAATCGTGTATTATTGGTTAACCTTTTATTTTATGATGGAAATACAACAATATTATGCTCATATTTTTGGAAATATATTTATAACTTTGATTTTTCACTCAAAATGTGACTGTCAGCTTTCATAAACTAGAATAAAATTTTGTCGTAACAGATGCATCATGATGACTTCATATATAGTTATGTTGTAAATATATACGAACGTCGAATACTTCTGAATTTTTTTACGTTCGCAAAAAAGTGTTGATAAATACTCTTTACCAAATTTCATTTTCTTCAGCTTCATCAATTTCAATCAATTCCTAGTCCTTCTTTTAAAAGATTTAAATACCTTGCCCGTCATCCGATTCCCCCAGTGTATCCATTAGTACATTTCTTATCGCATAGTATTGTCGGCGGAACAATTAGGGTATTTCGTTACATGCCCAATGCTTTATGCGTTTTTTGTCGTATAGAAATTCAAATATTTATGTTCATCAGTTTGCCATTATACTAGTTTTGTAAGATTCCCGTAAACCCATTCTGGTGTGCGGGCCTTTGTCAATGGCCTATTCGTTTGATAATTAATCATACCCGATTAAGTTTTGGTTTAACATTTAAATCGAAATCTCTGTATAGAATAGCGGGGTCTGCGTTTCCATGTGGTTAGAAAACCCTGATTAGAGACACACAAAACCAGTTGATTTTTGCCAGACGAAGAAGTCATTGTCCGACTGGGGGAAAAAGTTAAATCTGGACAATTGTATACAACATAAATTATTTAATTAATAATAATGGACCGACTGGGCATGGCGAACATAGCACTAAATTTTATTTATGTTCCATCAAGATGTATAGGAAAACTTAAGTGACGATTTTCTGTGACATTCGAAGGATAACATTTTTACTGTTGTGTATTTTTTGTTCTGTTTTTGCGAGTTAATCATGAAAGTTCCGACTTCTTCCTTTCCTCGCATCCAGGAAAATATATTCAAGCAGCCAGGTATGTTTATGGGGCGACTTAAATGCAGGATATCTCGACTTTTTTTGCAGGAATGTCGTTGATTTTATACAATTAAATCACAACTTTCGTTGGATAATTTTTGCGTTTGTTTAAATTAAGCAGTTGTCCATTTTTTTTTATCCAATCTAAAAAATCTATTTCGAATAAAGGAAAAGAAATGGAAAAAATGAAATTATTGTAAGTAGAAATTATCTTTTTTTCTATTTATTTGTACAGAAAGTGTAGGATTTGAATCGTTAATATTCTCCAAGTGATAAAGTCAAAGAAAAAAAAATACACTAACTTAAAATGTAAAAATAATATTTACACTGAACTATTTTGAATCTATTTTTACATTGTGTCAAAAGATGTGTTTTTATCAAGGAATCTGGAACGAATTTTGAGGCTTTAAAGGGTATGGGTATAATGCAGGAGTTATAAGCCCTTCTTTTATATTTGGTGATGATAATCTCCGAGAGCACAAAAACATAAAAGAGACCGCCGGTCAGGCTAAGAACAGCATTGGAAGTTTTTGTGATATGTCCAAATGCACTCCTAATGCGATTTCTGCGTTTGTAATCTTTTGCATATGCGATGTTGGGTATTTTCTATGCGTCGATGGTGTAATGTCAGGTACAAAAGTCATTACGCTACAAAATTTTTGTCATGAATTTAGTGTTAATTTGATGCTTAAATTGTCGACATGACCTATAGTAATCATTTATCTAAAACAAACTTTAGATATGGTAATTTAAATCCAGCATATTTCAATATTTAACGCAATTGCTTGACACAGATGACAGGAACTATAATATGAAAAGACACAGAATCCCTACACACACTTTTGTTAGATATTCGTGAGTTTTTCAATGCAGTATCTCAAGCTTTAGCTTGACATATATAATTGTTTTACTCATGTACCTATTTTAATTATGTGTCTGTCTATTGTTACTATCACAGCTAACATACATTTACTAGTATTTTAATATATACTTGCTGTCATAGCATTCATTGTTTGAGTGTTCGATAGTTTTTTTTTTTTTTATTGAATCCTTGACTTTTTCATTGATTTAGGAAGGTTGATGTCAAGGTTCTGTCCTTCATACTAGATTTTAATCCCTTATCATACTTGATTAAAGTCCAGATTATGCCTTTGTTTCTTAACATATGACATGGGTTAAATTTCACATTGCAGTATCAATGTGCCAAATACGGTCTTCATTATATCTTTGCAAAATTCTTTGATATTATTCGTTTTAATCAAAGGTTCATGTACTTTACAATCAGATTAAATATCAATATGCATGTTTGAGAATAAGAATAAAAAACAAATTTTCTAACCGTAACCATTACTGTACCTAGTTATAAATAAGTCATTTGACTTCTTTCAACAACAAATGGCATGAAAGATGAACGTAGGAGTCATTGATAAATGATATTTACATGTAATCTTTAGCTTGATTTTGGAAGATATGATGAACAAGTAAGATTGCTCGATAAGACTTTTTTCCTTTTCTCGTTTAAAGGTGGAGATCACATTGACAGTAGGGCTGTAAGACAGTATCTCAGTCAGCTGGAAATCTCACTCAAGATGGGTAGATATGAGTTTGGGTCAGCGAGGCTGACTGATACACGAACAGCCGATCGACCTTATAGCAAACTTTCCTGGCACGAGAAAGATCTAGCAAATTTAGACAAACGTTCCAGGTCAAGAAGTGCAAGTCGAAACTCTGGATCTGTGCTGAGGTCCCGACCTTCAAGCTATAAAGAGGACCCTCATGGACAATCTCTGAGCCGATATAGTAGTGTCAGTCATCTAAGCGCCTCTGAGAAGCTACTAATGGACGCAGATCGTCCAAGGCTGCTTCATCGTGATAATATAGACAGAAAATTGAAAGTTTCACCTCCTTCATCTGAGGTAAATTCACAAAGGCGACATGTAACGGTTGAAATAAAAGTTGAAGATGGTATTGATAGGCCACAAGGAATGGATGTCGAGACGAGAGATGCAAATCCTCAGATTGATAGCTATGGTGATGAAATTCGTCAAACTGAAAGTTTAGCTGTCGGGCAAGAAACTAAGAGAACTCAGTTTGCAGAGCAAACAGAAAGTGGTCCAGCAGAATTATTCAAACGATATAGTAGTGCTGGAAGTTCTCGATCATCTATTTCACGACAGCAAGATAGAGGATTAGTTAGAGGAAACAGTGCTAAAAGTTACCAGAGTTCTCACATAACTGGTTACAGTACACACTCTAGGGCTAGTGTACGAAGTGGTCATTCTCGTCGAAGTGCTCCTGGTCCACATGCAATCACTCCAGGAAACACAAAGTCGGTCACTGCAGGTCCGAACTCAACTTTAGACAGTCTCATTCCACGATCACCTCGTGATCTAGTAAGAACTGTACACCATCGTTCTGCATGGTATCACGTACCTGGTCGTTATGCTACCTCCCAGAAACCTGTCCCACCAAAACGTTCACAGAAAACACCAGAAGCAAAGGAATTAGAACATCGACTTTTTGGAAGTAGAAACTCAAATAGGGAAACACAACAGACTTTATATCGTAAATCCCCTCCTAAGGTCAATAAACCAAGACCTATTCAATCCAGGGACATAAACAAAGAATTTGGAATGACTGTTAAAGGGATAGGGCCAGTGATTTCTAATGGTTACTATAGTAGTCCTCCACATGACTATGCTGTTGAGTCGTATGTTGATGAAGATACTGAACACCATAATACAACTGTTAAATTTAAAGAAGCCGTATTTATGGAGTGAGAGGAGGCATAAAGTTAGATCTGTTGATTTTTTTTATTGTTTTTGTGACCTTCCAGAGTGTTATCACTTTAAAGATACGTTAAATGTATCTTAAAAGTATGTCTAATTGTCATGAAATATGATATATTCTAATTGTTATATTTAAACTCTTGAGAATAAAATTATAAATTATATATTTGATAGGAATTAGATCTGATAAAATATTAGATTTTCAAGAACCTTTCATGTATATTGAAATAGAGGTCAGTGTAATTTTTTTCTGTGTTCAACTTTCAACAAAATGTCTGTGATAAATATATAGTATGTACATCTATAATGACTGCAACATTTGATGTTATTAATTTTGTATTGATGTGATATAAATGTATTTAGCAGTCACTTTTACCGAAGAGGGGGGGGGGGGGGGGGAGGGGGTTGGATGGTTGGATGGTGTATCGATTTTGGTGCAGCATTTACTTTTTCAGCAAATGAAATGTTAAAATATGAATAAATCTTTAAGATAGATTTGCAGAATTGCACTGAAAAAAATGCGAGCGCTGTCTGTTGTATCACTTATAACAGCTATTAAACATCCAGCATTAAAAAGTTTAGGCTATCAACTGTATGTAAACATATCTTTTGAATATGTAACAGGCCCGTAGGATGCAATTTCAGTTTGGTTTTCTTTTTGGAGGGGGGATAGCCATACATTTTCAGTTGGGGGGGGCACTATCAACTACCAAAAATTCCTTGACAAGCAGAAAAAAGGCATCAGACGCTATTAGTATATTGTTGAGGAGGCACAAGCATATAGTAGCTATATTTTCTATATACATGTAGTATTCTATATATTGGCAAAATTATTAGGGGGCATGCCCCCGTGGACCCCCCCCCCCCCACCCCACCCGGTTCCTGCGGCCATGTGTAACTTGAAAAAAAATAAATATTCTCTAAGTGTAGCTCATTATTTTTTTAAATACTTTCAAAGTTAGAAGCTGGGGTATTATCACATTATTCTAGAATTTTTATTTATTTATTTTTTTAAATGATTACAGGATTTTCAATACTTCTTTAAATGAAATGTATGTAATCGTTTGCTGTCGTGTATGTCTACATTTACACTATTTTATGTATTTTTAGTTTGTGTAATTATAAAGTGGTTATTCATTTAAAAGTTGCAATTTTTTTTCATTGAGAACGGATTTTCAATTTCTAAAAGGATGAATTTAGTATTTTAGACTGCTTGATACCAACGTATTTTTCATGTACAGTACTACTGTATAAAAAATTATGAATTATTCTGAAAATGATTAGAATTTTTATTGGATTGAAATGTAGGTTCTTTTGTAAATGTTTCAAGCCGTCTAATGAAATGGTAAAAATCTTCTAATATTATTTTATTTGAGGTTTACGTCAAATCATGACCGACTCAAATATATCCTTAAATGTCCCTACTCATTTCGGGTATGTCTGCACTAGACAATTGGGACCGACTTTAATAAAAGAAAAACAGTGAACTTTTCTAATTTTACAAGATTCATGGAAAGAACGAGGGCGCTTTTAATTGGCATTCTTCAGAAATCTGGGAGCACTTGAAAAGTGAAAATTTCATTGTTCTGTCACATAAATTTTTAATATTCTTTTGATGAATCGGGTTCCTGTGAAATAGGAAAGGGAAGTATTTTCCCGGTATTGTGTTTTGATTTGCTAAAAAAAAAAAAATAACTTGAAAATAGGCTAGATGATTAATTTGGTACAAAATATCACATTTTTTAAACACGATTTTCTAAAAATCTGCTATCCATGACTTTCAAACGTTATTTGTACACATTCTAATTCAAAGAAACAAACAATCATATTTTTTTTTAAAAATGGAGGATGACCCAGAGACCATGAAAAAGAACTTTTTCCAAAAAAAAAAAATCCAATGTGTAGATGAGGTGCTTCATTGTCGTGTTAAAATCCAACTTGTATGTGTAGCGATGATATCTCGTTAGTATGCGTTACCTGTCCAGAGCAATGTAGTCGGAAATTTTTGGTTCGATCCTCGCATGGAGCATTAATGATTTTTTTTATGCAACAATAAAACAATCAATTCCTTTGTCCGTTTATTTTTTTTTATACTGATTTATTTTAAAATGGATAAAACTTGGTTCTGTTGCATCGAATGCGAAAGGAATTTTTCCAACCTACTGATACTTAAATATACACTTGTAATTGCATTTAACTATACCCTTATTATCTTGTATATGGTTATATTTTTTATGGGTAGCATTACTATGTTATAGTTTGATTATTAAGATAAGCGGACCCTTAATATTACATTTTGACATGTTACTTCAAACTGAATGTATAACATTTTCCTATGTGTGTAACTTTGTAAAGCCTGTCCAGCTGTGGTCAGCCGACCAAATCCTGGACATATAAACTATATGTGTTGTATCGATTTCTACTACAAAACATTATATTTCATTAATTAAATAATGACGCGTTTATCCCGACGGTAATTTTTTTAGGAACGACTTCTTCCACACCTATCTTGCAAAAGTGACAATCGTTGTATAAACACTGGCTGTGCAGTTAGCTGTGAACTCCAAACAATAGCGAATTAGCGTTTAAATTGAAGCTCAAAAAATTTAGCTTATATGGTGTGTATTAATAAAAGAAGAATCTGTTCAGAATTATACTGCCAACGGTACAAATAAAGTGAACAGTAACTCACGAGCGATTCCGTAGTGGTCTTAAGTTAAGTTTGCCATTTGTCAAAAAACTCTATAAACGACACAATTCAAGAAAATATCTTTCTATTTAATGTATTACATTTTATAAACGCATTCCCGTAGAACACCGGGGGGGGGGGATGCAGGGGGACGCCTTTAGAGGCTTCCCCCCTCCTTTCTCCCCCCCCCACACACACACTTGTTGATGTTCTAAGGTCTAGCACGGGCTAATTCCCGGATTGGGACGGTTAATTAACTTCTTTTTATGTTTCTTTTGCTTGTCAGATAATTCTGAAAAGTTGTCCCCCCACCCACCCACCCCACTTTAGTTGTTGTTTTTTTTCCACCAACTTTTGAATCCGTTGCTACGGGCCTGAAACGTACATTACTTTAGAAATGAAATACGTAACTGGCGGAAAGTATAGAAGCCGATTACGTTTTTCAATTTTTTTTTTTTTTTTTTTTTTTTTTTTTTTTTTTTTTTGAATTGAATTGAAATTTTAACTTAGAGTCTGTAGGAAAAATCATGAATGATCATGAAGATGACTTGTATTTACGTTGAATGTTTACAGCATTTACTCTGATTACACATGTTTGACTTAGCTTGCAGTGTTCAGTTACTTACAGTCCTAAGTATTGAATATACGCGGTTAGTTTTTATTTGAACATTTTTAATAATGATTCTGAACAGTTTTGTCATATCATATGAGCTTGAATCACTTTAAAATATGGCGAAATAAAGAGAAGCAGATCAAACTTTAGCCATGCAGCCCATGCAGTCGCACACAAATGAGAAGGCGAGTGAAATTTCCAGTTTTTCATGGTGTAATTAAAATGAGATTTGATTTGAATAATTTCTTTTTAAATTATAAAAATAAAATCAATAAACAATTAAGGTATTATTTATTTCTTTGCCTTCACATTTGATACCAGGTTCTATACATGAACATGTTTTAAGAGGATTTTTGAGAATTGTTTCGAATCCGGATTTACGGGAATTATATATATATATATATATATATATATATATATATATATATATATATATATATATATATATATATATATATATATATATATATATAAAACAATGAATTAGTACGAAAGTGGAGTATCCACGATGTCTAATAGAAGAGAACCTTTCAGAAAGAAATATGTATAACCTTCGCCCCCTGTGTTGCATAAATATAGTAGCTATTGTATTATTTAATTAATAGAGAAGAATATTATTAAAGCACACACTAAGATGAATATAATTCCTGTTTATATATATTAGCAAATTCCATATGGTTACGATACAACTGTGTACGAAAAGGGTCGGGTCTAAAATGTGGAGTGATTGAATCTGGCTTAAATTGAAAGGAGATATTATTTCATTTCCCGATTTTGTTGAAATACTGAAAGCTTTCATCCTTGAACAAAAACAATTTGAAATCGGAAATTAGAGTTTGTAGCATATGTATATATACATTGTTTTTGTTTCCGTCCTTCTTTAGAATAAGGAAATTTGCCTCTTTCAGTGATGAGAATGTGATTATACATTTGCTATGACATGAAGAAAAATAATGGATGGATCTGACAAAGATAATTTACAAAATTCTTCTGCTACACTGTATGTCGCCAATTTGTTTGAAAAATCGACCGAAAAATCATGCAAGTTCCTTAATAACATTTGGGCAAAGGCAACACCTGAAGAAAAAGAAGAAATTGATAACAATGATGAAGTACTAAAAAATAATTTAAAAGAAGCAGAATTCTTCGAAAATGATCAATTCCAGCATCAAGAAGATTCTGTGTCCGAAACAAATAATGCACATTTTTCTATTGAATCAAACCAAGTGTACCTTGATCAAGAAGAAACACATAATTCACACGTCTCTCTGAAGGAAGGTGATGATTTTTCTGACGATGAAAGCGATGCTACCGACTACTTTGATAGTGACGACGAATATCAGTTGTCTTGTAATAGACGTCTGATGAGGGACGCAGATAGTGACTTCGTATATGGAGGATTTGATCGCTACAGTACGTCACGCACTGACGGAAGATACAGTAAGCAGGTTTTACGATTACCAAGATTTTTTTTTTCCACCTTGACTCTGCATACATGTACATGTAAAATAAAAGTTATTAATACATTTATAGGTCAAGGTGTGGAGCAGTACATGAACATGCCGGTTTTCTTGAGATCAATCCGAAAGTTTGCTGCTGATAATAATTTTGAGGTTTGGAATGGAAAACCTGACGGTAGTTGTATGTTCCGATCAATTGCTGATCAGCTGACAATAAATGGTCATTTTGGTCATACAGCAGAAACACTTAGACACATGGTTGTTGTGTAAGAAAAACATACGCTATCACCAATTTATCATTCATTGTGTTTACATCGTACATAATGTGAAAATGGTAATGTTTCTGTTAAATATACCGAAAATATGCAATTCACAGATGCTTATTGATTCTCACACGAATATCTACTGTTTTTTTTTTATAATACGTTTCATTATTTTTTCCCCCAGTTTTATAATATTTCTTCCTCTGTTTCATTAATTTTCTTCTTCTAGGTATCTTACAGAACATCCTTTGCAGGAAGATGGGTGTCCAAT